CAAATCTCTTTGTGGATATACGATTTCATTTCTTTTGGATAGATCCCTTGTAGTGGAATTGCTAGGGAGGTTATATATTTAGCTATATAAGAAAATGCCAGATCTTTCCCCAAAGGGTCATGGGAACAGTTTAATGTCTTAACTAAGTATAACCATAAACAACTAAAATTTACTGAATATTTTCTGTGAGCACTGTGCATAGAACTTTACTCAAATACAGTATTTCACCGAATTCTCATATTCAGCAGATGCTATTATTTACATTTTGCACAAAGGATAATTGAGGCATAGAGAAATCCATAACTGTCCAAAGTCACACAGCTAGTAAGTGGCTGAGCTTGGATTTAGATCTTGGCAGGTTAGATTCCTGCTTCTATGGCTCATGCCTCCTAGAATATAGTAAGAAAAAATAATAAGACTTTTTTTATTCTTTGGAGATAAATTTTTAAGAAGGAAAACTGGTCATGGTAACCAATTTTAACAAGAGATAACAAGATAGAATAACAGGAAATACCATGCTCATCAATAAATAATATAAATGTAAATTGTGCTCTATCACTTGGGGTGTGGCATGTATGGTTCTCAGGAAGATAGACATATGCATCTGTAAAGTACCTTTAGTCTCTGAGAAATTCTTCAAAGTTATCTTCAAAAATACCTCATCTCCAGCCCTGTGCAATCCATCTAGCTTCCCTTGAGAGTAAGTGAAGTGTTAAACTTCAGAGTCTCTTCCCTGGGTTTGTTAAATGAGAGCTGCCACCTCTCCTCTATAATTAGGAGAGGAGCCCCAGGGTTTACTGGAGAGGTGGGTGTAAGCTGCCATGAGGTAAGGAGGCAGGAGAGTGTTTCCTCCCACGGGTTTTTTTCCTCTAAACTCATAGAACCCAGATCTGATTTGCAGTATGTCTAGGAAACTTGAGGCAAGGGCGGAGGACCACAGGAAACACACCTTTCCTCTCAGCTGGAACTCTGCCATCCTCACCTTCCTGTCTTTAACAAGCTCTCTAAACCAAAAAATGATGCTGCAGATTGGAGCTGTTGATGAGGGAAGGCTGGGAGTTCCCGAATCTTTTGAAACAGATATTAAATCTGTAGTTTGACTGGCTCCTAGCCCAGGGGCCCATGGGAAAGCCAGGAGAGTGTGTGATGGTAGAAATCTCTGGGTTCTCCTCCTCCTTTCCCTTCTTCATTTTTCTTTAATGGTTCTGGGACATTCCAAAGTAATTCCTAGGGAGACTCTTCTTGGTTCATACACACATCACATATACACTCACACATGTGTGCCCACACATGCATAAAGGCGCACACACTCACGTTTACTGGTTTATGATAAATAATATTGCAGAGGATACAGAGGAGGAGATGGGGTAAGGCAAGTGGGGAGGGGGTGCAGAGCTTCCTTGTGCTAAATGAATCATCAGGTCACATATTAGCCACTCTCAACCAGGCTTAGTCAAGACCAAGTCCACACTCCTTATGTGACCAATGGGAGATCCTGCTCACATGGGCCTGGCCACCCACTGGCCTGCTGCTTCTCTCCATGCTCTAGCTTTGAGAGTCATTGCTGGTCCCTGTGAATACCTATTTGCCCACCCATCTGCCCTGACAGGAAGGCCTTTGTTTCTCCTTCCTCTTGCCAGGATTCTTATTTATCTTTGTAGGACTGAATTCAAGAGTCACAAATATGGTAATTAGTTGTTTATACACACACTCCTTCTCTCCATTCTCTTTTAAACTCTGATTTCCTCCTCAGCAGAAATGCCTTATTTTACTTTGTATGTCTCATCAGCATATATCAGACATTCAACCAAAATTTTCTTAATATGCTGGACCTGTGATCAGCAACTTTTGAGTAAACAAGTGCTTTATTTGAACTACACTAAAAGGTAAATTGTTTTCCTTGCTTTGCAGAGTGCTGATTTCATCTTGTAAAAAACAAATAAACAAAAAACATTTTGCATAGGATGTTGAAAAAGACAATTTTTTACAAATGCTGATTTGAGTCAACTGTCCTTTATGTCTGCTGAGCTCCTGGTGAGTTTAGCACTGTCTGAGGTCTAGATGTCCATCAGAAAAATTTTGGGGAAATGTAGGCAAATGAGTATCCACAGGGACCCTCAATTGAAAGCATGGGTGGAAGATGCAGCCAGCTCTCAGGGGGTCTGGTGACGGGAGGGGATTTGCTCCAGACAGGCAGTTTGTTCAGATCTTCCTGCCCTGGTTACTCTCCTGCTGCATTTCACTGTGTTCCTCAGCTCTTGGGTAACTCTACCTCTCACCAAGTTTTGCAATCTGCTGTGGGCTTCAAAACCCTCTACTTTTTCCTCTACTGGGAGGAGCAGCAGGCCAGTGGGTGATTGGGCCCATGTGGGCAGGGCCCCTATTAGTCGTCTAAGGAGTGTGAACTTGTTCTTGACTAATCCCAGTTGAGGCTGGCTAATATGTTACAGCAAGAGGGGGCATGGAAGCTCTGCACCCCTTCCCCTTGCCTTGCCACACACATCTCCTCATCTGTAGCCTCTGTAATATCCTTTATGAGATGCTTTCAAAGCTATGGGTATGTCACAAATCTAAATGACAATAAGGATTTTTTCTCTGGTAAAGTGTGGAAAAAAAACTGGTGTCTCTGAAAATTGAACTTTGTGTGTGTGTGTGTGTGTGCGCGCGCGCGCGCGCGCACGCTAGGGATTGAACCCAGGGCCTCGTGCAGGCTAGACAAGCACTATCGCACTGAGCTACATCCCCAGCCCCTCAGTTTTCTTCTTTTAAATCTCCAGAATCCCTTCTCCTTTTCTCTCATTTGCCTAGATGTGAATACTACTTAAGCTGTATGTAGATGCCTCCAGTTTTGATTAAAGCCTTGCTGACTGGCATCTTGGGAATTCTGAGGGCCGATCATCCTTTTTATGTAGCATTTTCTGTTGACGAGTTCAGCCTTTGGCCTCCTTCCTCACTCAGGGAGGGGATGGTGTCTTGGATCCTCTCCTGTTAACTGGAAGGAATTGGGCATTGCCAAGCACCAAGCCAGGAAACTGACTTCTGCCGAGGAATGGGATCTGGGCAGCTGTGCCCTCAGAGCAGGGCTGGCAGCCAGCTCTCAGGGTGTCTGGCTGCGGGAGGGGTTCTTCTGCTTTACAACGGGCCAGCTTGTTCAGATCTTCCTGCCCTGGTTACTCTCCTCTGCGTGTCACTCTGTCCTTCAGCTCTTTGGTAGTTCTACCTCTCACCAAATTTTGCAATTTCAAATCCCTCTACCTCTCCTTCCGCATATTCCTGTAGAGTTAAAAGCCAACCAAAGAAGATTAAGTTTCTTTTATCTCTTTTTTATTTAGTCTCCATCGCTGACCTCTTCTGACCTACATACCAAAGGGCTGTATTTTACTTAGAACCATTTTTAAAGGTCCACTAGTATGCCAGCATTCTGAGTTTAGGTTGCTCAGAATGACCTAGAAGCTGATAAAGAAGGCAGATACTCCTTTATCAGAAACATCACAATAACACATTCATGCTAGCACATGACTAGTCTCCATCTGAGGCAGCCCCTGGGCTTCTTGATTCTAACATAATAGATTTTTGTTGGTGTCTACCTGGTTTTTCTCCACACTGACACCTGTTTTTTTTTTTTTCCTCCGTACCGACACCATTATCTTTTTTTCTTAATTTCTATAATTTGCCTATTTTCGTGAAATTTTCTCTTCTCTTTATGATGTTTTACTGTTTTTCTTTTTCTTTCAGTGTTGGGGATTGAACCCAGGTCCTCACTGCATGCTAAGCAAGTGCTCTAGCACTGAGCCACACTCCCAGCCCCAAGTTTTATTTTCTGCATATCCTGCTCCTTGCTCCCTCTCCTGGCAACCTTTCTGTTCCGGGGTTCAGCTAGGAGACTTGATGAATCACTGGTTTCCAGACTGCTAATCTGGGCGCAAGGGCAACTCAACTCTGCTAGGATTTCACCCTTGATCTAGCAGAATTCCTCGCTGCAGGTGAGTCTTCATCCTCCCAGTTCAGCACTGCTTCTTTGCCAGACAAGGAGGCCTTTTTTTCTCATTTTAATTCCTCAACTCTTTAGACTTCTCAGACAGATGGCTGCCCTAAAAATGGCAGATGAAATGTGAAGCACAAAAAGGTATTATAAGATGTTCCCTTGAGAATCTCTGATTATTCATATCAGCTGGAATTTTGTGGCAAGAGCACTACACTTGAGAATTAGAAAAGTTTGGTTGGTTGTGCAACCTCAGGCAAATCACTTACCTTCCCTGGGCTTTTCTTGTCCTCCTTGGTAAAATGGGACTACTTTGTGGGGAGTTGTGGAAATGAAAGGCTGAGCATGAAAACACTTTGCAAACTGTACTGAGACGGTGGAGTAAATGAGCAGGGCTGTTGTCCTGATTCTTCTTTAAATCGTTAAAAGGAAAATTAAATATTGAGATTTGCTTCTGCTGGGTATCAACGAAAACTACAAGCTAAAAAAAGGTGCAGAAATCCTTGTGGTAACATTTGGCTAAAACTGAGGGTGTCACTACTGTTAGGACTCTGTGTCCACTCAGGGTCCTAAGGAATTCGGACTCTTGTTTTGAAGAGCTGCTGCGATTCCAGCTCTAGGCTAAGGTGGCCCCGGGGCGGTGCTTTGGGATGTGGAATCCCTGCAAGGTGTTTTCACGGTTCACTTCCCAGGGCGGCCTCAAGCCTGTTTTAAAAGGGTGTGTGTGGACCAAGCCCAAAGCAGCCTGGGACACTGCAGACTGGCACCACCTCCTCTGGCTGTTTCCGAGGCCATCCAGAGGCCAGGGCCCGGTCAGATGAACTGAAAAGTCAAGAGAGGACTGCTGAGTTTGGGACCTTTGTGCAGACGTGTTCCCAGTGTGGAGGGTGGGACGGAGGAAGGGAAGGAGGGCGTTGAGAGGAGGCCCCACCTTTCATTCCAGCACAGTGCACCGGCGGGGCGGGATGAGTCACGACTGGCTTGCTCCGGAGCTCAGATTCCCGTAGGTGAGGGACCGAGACTCCCCTCTCGGGGAAAACGCGGCGCCCGCTCTTCCCGCACGGATCTTGGCAGGTGCTAGAGCCCTGGGTCTGCCCGGTCTGGTCTCTGGGACCAGGGCTGGGTTTCCCTCATGTATGGCAAGAGTCCTGCGCGCCTGGTGCCTCTCCTCCTTGGCTTACAGCTCACAGGTAAGACCTGGCGGCTCCTCCCGTTTCCTCCTTTATTGCCCACACAACAGAGATAGTTAATTGTAGAAGAAATCGCCGGAGTTCTGCGTGGGAGCCCAAGACACAGTTACAGTTGGTTTTGGTTTGGACTTTACTGAAACTGTAGTTGTTTGGGGGGAATTATTTTGGACAAATAAGTTTCGGTGTGTTGGCTGCCAGTGATCCAGGTACAGAGAGGGCTTTCTAATCTCAGGTTACACACCATTTTTGTGTGGCTGTTCTCAGCCTCCTGCTGCTGGTAGGACTTGGCACTTGATTTCTGTGTGTGAGTCTTGTGTGGAACTCTGCGCAGCACCAGGAAAACCAAGACTGTTAGAGACCCACCGCGGTTTTGAAACTGCCCCAACACACACATTCTGAACGTCAATATCATGGTAAAAATATGCCACGTGGTATAAAGGTCCCCGGGTGCAGGCAAACACAGGCTGCCGGCAGCTGACAACTTCTGCAGTGTAGGAAACCTACATCATGAGAACTCTCTGGAAAACTTATCTGCTATGAAGTTTAATTCTGGGCTCCTGACTTTAATATTTGTAGTTTGTTATAGCACTTCTGAAGTCAGTGTCCTGAGGCCCTGGAAGCACTAGGAAGGTTCCCCATGTGGTGTTTGAGCTGTGAGGGGATGGGAGCTCTGGGCTGCCTGTAGGTGGGTGGGACTGTGGGTGAGTAAGCTTGAGAGCTGGGCATCATGGTTCTGCCTTGTTCCCTACTCAGACATTTATTTTGAAAGTGTCATAGTCCTCTCAAGCCCACATCCCCTGTTAACCCTTCTTACTCCTTTTACTGCAGCTCTTTGGCCTACAACAGCTGTGGAAATTTACACCTCTGGGGCAGTGGAGGCTATGAACGGGACAGATACTCGGTTAAAATGCACTTTCTCCAGTTTTGCTCCTGTGGGTGATGCACTAACAGTGACTTGGAATTTCCGTCCTCGAGATGGGGGGCCTGAACAGTTTGTAAGTAAATCATTGTCATTAATTTCTAGGGGACCCTTGGTCAGGCATTAAACCAGTGTATTTTTCCTTATCCTTCCTGTATTTTTCTTAGCAATAGGCACAGGGGTAAGCTGGGAAATAATTATTGGGACAGAGACTGACAGAACTGGACAGAGGCCAGTGGAGGGGGAAGAAAGATTCCTATGAGAGAGCTGTGGATGGGACAGCTGGGCTTGCTGTTGTTTCTCTTCTGCCCCCATCATCGCAGCCTCCTTGCCTGGGTATTGAATAAGTGACATTTGCTTTTCCCCCCTCCAGGTATTCTACTACCACGTGGATCCCTTCCCACCCATGAGTGGGCGGTTCAAGGACCGGGTGGTCTGGGACGGGAACCCTGAGCGGTACGATGTCTCCATTCTTCTCTGGAAACTGCAGTTTGATGACAATGGGACATACACTTGTCAGGTGAAGAACCCACCTGATGTTGATGGGCTGGTAGGGACGGTCCGGCTCAGCGTTGTGCACACTGGTAGGTTATGTGGGGGGGGGAAACGGGGTTTTGGGAGTGAGAGAGCTGGTAGAAAAGAGAGGCAATCTCTTGTTATGGTTGAAAGGGTAGAGAGGGGGCCTAGTGCTGGGAACTGCAGAGGGAGACTAGGAGTCCTAGGGTAAAAAGAGAAAGGCTTTGTTTGGTTGTGGAAAGAAACAGAGTAAAGCAAAAGGATCCAGGGAATGTGTAACAAAATGGCATTGAGATGGTAAAAGGGAGAGGAAGCGACTCTCTGATAAAAGGCCAACAATAGGTCTGTTCATTCTCTCATTTATTCAAGATACTTATTGAGTTCCTGCTGTGTACCAGACACTGTCCAAAGTGCTCAACATGTCCTATCTCACTTCATCCTCACGCCATCCTCAGAGACAGATATCAATAATGGTAGCTAACGTTTATTGAGTACTTTCCACCTGTCCTTACATGACACATTCTATTTGTGTTTTACATATCTCATCAGTTTATTTTGCACTTAATGTCTCTCATTTTACCAACAAAGGAAATTGAAGCTCATAGAGGTTGTCACTTGCCCAAAGTCATGTGGTTGGAAACTGGAGTAATTTTGGACTCAAACCCAACCATCTTTGACTCTAGAATTGTACTGTAAACTAATGCATTGTATTGCCTGCACCCCTGTGAAGAACAACCTGGAAAATAGTGGCAGGTCACAAAGAACAAAAATCACAACAGTTTTGAACTGCTGTAGAACTGTGTGTGAGTCATGGCTACCAACTGCAACCGTACATGAATCTTATTTTCCTCACCTACAAATTGGAGGTAATAATATGATGATTATGGTGAGGACAAATTGAGATAATAAATGTGAAAATCTCTAAATGCTGACCTGTACTGAAAAATTACAATAGCTACCATATATTGAGTGCTTATTATGGGCAGGCACAGCATGAAATGATTTACATGTATTGTTTTTATTTTTTATAAGAATTCAAGAAATGGATATTGTTACCTCTATTTTATACAGGAAGAAACTGAGGCTAAAGAGAGTTAATTACCCCAAATCACACAAGAAAGAGCTGTGTAACCCGGAGAAGTCATTTGAATATTGAAAGAAGTAATATAATGCCTCTGGACCTCAGTTTCTTCTCAGATTAGACAAGACATCATTTGTTCTTAAACTTATTAGAATCACTACTCTTGAGAATCAAATGAAAGTCATGGCCCTGTTTCCCACAAAAAGTGGGAAAAACACACGTTTTTGGTAACTGTGGATCATCTCTCCATTCTCCATCCTTCTTGATGGGCTCCAGGCTAGAACTCCTGAGCTATACATTCTCTAATGTCCTTTCTGGATCTAATGGTTTATTGAAGTTTCAATTAGAAATCAAATTAAGGAACAGGAGAACCAGGTTTCACAGACTATGATCTTTAGGGGTTCCTTCCCCTGGGCTCCCTCTTTCACCATTTATCCACTAGTTACTGATCTACTTGCCTGACTTCTGAGGGGGTGGCAAGAGCTCCTTGAGAGTAATGTCCTTTTTGGCTTTTCATTTGTATCACAGTACCTGGAGTACAGTAGGACCTTAATAAATCTGAATAAATGACTGACTGAAGGGCAGAGGTGAGATGGGGTGGGGAGAAATGGGTTGGGCCCTAGATTTGGTTAGGTTAGCAATAATCCCATTAGGCAGTTAGCTGACTTAGTGATTCTCAAAACTATAGTATGTATCATAATCACCTGGGGACAACTTAAAAAGCAGACTATTGGGCCCCACCCCTATTGTTTCTAGCTCAATAGGCCTGGGGTGGGGCCTGAGAATTTTCATTTCAAAGTTCTCAAGTGATACTGTTGCTGCTATTCCTAGGATCACATTTTGAGAAGCACTAAAGTAGACTATGTGACTTTCCCACTGCTGCTAGAATTTACAAGGTCATAGGGTATTTTTTACATAAAGGTAGGAGAAAGGAAGATTCCATTTAATGATGAAATGCATCCCAATTATGTCTTTAGATTTCTTCACAGTTCTATTCTTAGAATCCTCAGTTGATCACTTGATCTTTTTCTCCTCATAGTACAGTTCTCGGAGATCTACTTCCTGGCTCTGGCTATTGGCTCTGCCTGTGCACTGATGGTGATAATAGTAATCGTGGTGGTCCTCTTCCAGCATTTCCGGAAAAAGCGATGGGCTGAAAGAGCTCACAAAGTGGTGGAGATAAAATCGTAAGACTGGGAAGTTAGGGGAAAGTCTCCTTCTAACACCTTCTTATGGTGACTCCTGGTATTTCGAAATGGGGCTAAATAATTGTTGAACACACGTTCTTTCTGTTGAATAAATCCTACGTAAAAGACTTCTAAGTCACAGGACAGATAAATTAGGTTGTGAATATTAACTTGACAAAAGCTTTCTTGATCTTTACAAAAAGATTTCATCATAGGATTTCTTTACTATGTGGAATTTCACATCATAAAAATCTGCTTATGTAAAACTTTTCTAAAATATCCCCTACTCATTTAATTTAGCATTACTAGGGATTAAGCCCAATACCTTGAGCATTCTCAGCACATGCTTTACCACTGAGCTACATTTCCAACTCCTAAAATATCCTTTATTTTTAAAGTGAAGCATTAATGCTTAAGAATAAAGGGTCACTATGAATCAGTGCATTAGAAAGGGTGCTGTGCTGATAGTAGGTGCTCAATAGACCTGTTTTAAAATTGACATAAAATTCACCCTTTTAATATTCACAAAGTTGCTCAATAATCACTGCCAATTCCAGAACCTTTTAAACATCCCTCCAAAGAAACCCCATATCCTTAAGCCATCACTTCCTAGTTTCCCCTCCCACCAACCCCTGACATCTATTATCTGTCTATGGGGGGTTTGCTTATCCAGGACATTTCCTATAAAAGGAATCATAAAGTATGTAGCCTTTACATCCAGCTTCTTTCACTTAGTATGTTTTCAAAGTACATCCATGTTGTGTTATAGCACATATTGGTACTTCATTCCTTTTTTTTTTTTTTTTTTTTTTTTGGTGCTAGGGATTGAACCTAGGGTCTTGCATATGCTAGGCAAGCACTTTACCACTGAGTCACACCCCAGCTCAGTACTTCAATCCTTTCAATGGCTGCATGATTTTTCATTGAAATGGGTATATCACATATTGTTTATTCATTCATCAACTGATGGGCATTTAGTTTTTTTCCTACTTTTTGGCTGTTATAATAAATGTTGCTATGAACATTCATCTATAAGTTTTTTTCATAGATATATATTTTTAATTCTCCTAGGAGTGAGTAGAATTGCTGGGTCATATGGGAACTCTGTTTAATTTTAGGAGGACTTGCCAGTTTTCAAAACAGCAGCATATTACATTCCTATCAGCAATACACGAGGATTCTAATTTCTCCATGTCCTTTACTAACATGGGTTATTGTCTTTTTAATGATAGCCATCTAGTGGACATGAAGTGGTATCTCACAAGATTTTGATTTGAACTTTCCTAATGACTAATGATGTTAATTTTTCTGTGTTTAGTGGTCATTTGCATATTTAATTTGGAGATATTTCTTCAGATAGTCTGTCCTCCTTAAAATTGGATTGGCTACCTTTTTTTTGGTACTGGGGATTGAACACATGGGCATTTTACCACTGAGCTACATCTCCATCCCTTTCTTATTTTTTATTTATTGAGACAAATTCTCACTAAGTTGCTGAGACTGACCTAGAACTTGCTATTGTCTTTACCTCAGCTTCCTCAGTTGCTGGGATTACAGGCATGTGCCCCTGTGCCCAGCTGGTTACTTTTCATTCTTGAATTGTAAGAGTTCTTTTTGAATTTTGGAAACTAATCCCTTATTGGACACATGACTTGCAGTTATTTTCTCCCATTCTCCCATGTGTTTTTTTTTTTTTTAACTTTCTTGGGCACTTTCTGCTCAGAGCAGAAATGTTCCACAGTTCTATGGGCCTGGAAAAACCCCCTCTGGTCAGACAAAAGATTGAATGAACACAGCTGAGAAGTTATGGACAACAGGAAGTGCCTGTCTGACAGGTAATAGTTATGCAAGGAACATTTTTAACATTATAGATTGGTACCTGTTCCTAGGAATCAGTACAGGATACCATGTGGAACTTGAAAATATATGAAGGTGTATGTGGAGATATCCATAATATCTCACTCAGTCTGTGTTGAACCATTTGGTCCTAAGGTATAAAAGTTTTTAAATTTTGATGAAGTCCAACTTGCCTGTTTCTTCTTTTGTTGCTAGGGTTTTTGTGTCACATTTAAGAAATCATCATCATGAAGATTTAACAACATCATGAAGATTTACACCTACATTTTCTTCTAAGAGTTTTATCATTTTAGTTCTTACATTTAGGTTTTTGATCCATTTTGAGCTAATTTTTGAATATTGTTGAGGTAGGAGTCCCAATTCATTTTTTGGATGTGGACATATAGTTGTCCCAGAATCATTTGGTTCTTTTCCTCAGTAAATATTTGCTAAAACAAATATAATTGATTTTAAGGAATCTAAGAAACCCACCTCTGAGGTTCTGGTTTGAATAGAACATAATTAATAAAGATAACTTTTAGGTCAACATAAAACTTTTTCTTTTATGAACAGGAGTAGAAATAAGAGTTAGCATTCTAATGGTAAAGTAAGGTGTTTGCTTTAAGCTTCTGGAGTTCCCAAATCAGGTCCCCAATTGTATTCCCTCATATTCTGAAGAGTCTTGGTTCATTTACCCAGGTTCAGGTGGAGGCATAAGTATTTCTAGTCAGATGGCAGTAGCTGTTTAATGCTAAACTAATCTACTTCCAGTTGAGTGTAATTCTCAAAAAATGGGGGAGAAAATACATTACCTGAAAAATATTTGCCTCCCTCCCAATATTGTTTACCTGACATTTTTTTCCTGCTTTTTGTTACAGAAAAGAAGAAGAAAGGCTCAACCAAGAAAAGGTCTCTGTTTATTTAGAAGACACAGACTAACTTTCCTAGATGGTGAGGCTCAAAATGGGTTCTCTCTTTTCTCAGTTTTCTGACCTGTCTGGTCCACCTCTAACATGGATTGCCCAGATTACTTTATATGGTCATTAGGTATTTCCTATATGAAATTAGAGGTTCCCAGTCAGGGTTCCAGTCTCATGAATGGCTATGAATTTTGTACAAAGGATTAAGAAGCTAGACTCTATTGCCATTAAAGCTCAAAGAATTCTTTTTTTTTTTTTAAGCTTTGGGGTTATATTTATCACTACCAAGAATAAACTATCAACATGTAAATAAATCTTTTTTGTGTGTGTGTGTGGTGTTGGGGATTGAACCCAGGGTCTTGTGCATGAGAGGCAAGCACTCTACCAATTGAGCTATATCCTCAGCCCTAGTCTTTATTTTTATTTTTTTAGTTGCAGTTGGGTACAATATCTTTATTTATTTTTATGTGGTGCTGAGGATCAAACCCAGTGCCTCACATGTGTGAGGTGGGCACTCTACCACCCCAGCCCTAGATTTTTCTTCTTCTTTTTCTTTTATTGTAAACCAGTATGGCAATAAGAGAGTGACTTAAAAGATCTGCCTGGTATTTTGACTGGAGAAACTTTGTATTATTTGGAATTGGTTTCACTCCTCTAAATTAGTTATTGCTCTATAAATCTAGTTTAGTGAATAACTTTATTTTTCCAACTTTCAGGTTTATCAGGCTTAAAAGGTAGGATTATTTGTTTTTCCTATGCTCAGAATTTCTCCCATTCTCTAAAGTAGGACTACACCTTTAATTTCTAGTTATTGTAAAATGAGTAATGTAAACTGAATTTTACACTATCAGAATATTTTTGACATTAATTACTTTAACCTGTGAAACTCAGTTCAGGTCATCTACATGGCAGGAACTTTTTATAGACTGTTATTAGTTGTAAAGAGAGTCACATTTTATATGCTATAGCTCCAGTGAAAAACCTCACGGATTTATAAAATAGAATATGAATAAATGTGATTGGATTGAAAAAACAAAACTGGCCAGATGTGGTAGTGCATGTCGGTAATTTCAACTATTTGGGAGACTGAGGTGGAGTACTGCAAGGGGGAGGCAGCTCAATGGCGAAGTGCTGCAAAACCAAAACAAAACAAAACAACCTGCAAAAATCCAAATTTGGTATCAGGGAGTTCTTCCCAAAGGCTATTTGTCTTTTTAAAATCAAGCAGATTCTTAACAAGTCAGGGTAATGGAAAATAAAGATGGGGGCTGTTTTAGATTAAAAGAAATTTAAGAGACTTAAGAGGCTAACACAATCAAACGCAATGTGTAATCCCTGCCTGGATGGATACAGATTGAACAAACTAGATGTAAAACAGTTTGGTGGGAGCAATTGGGAAAGTCTTGAATATGAAAATGTTGCATATGGATAATATCAGGAAATTGTTAGATTTTATAAAGTACAATAATGATATTGTAGTTACATAGGAAAATGTCCCCATTTAAAAAGATGCATATAGGAGTAAATAGGGGTAATGCCAGTAAATTCCTTTAAAAACTTCATCCAAAAAAAAAAGTAAATAAAAAAAGAATGCTTTAAAATTAGATGGTTGATGAATTCCATACACCATCTTCTTTACCTTTCTATATGTTTGATTTTGTTTATAATGAGGGTGGGTAGAAAACGTATGTATGTGAGCGAGCTGTGGATCCTCCAAGTGTCCATGCTAAAGCGCTAGGATGCTATGAATAAAGGATACTGACTTTGAGAACCATGTATTAAGAATCAGGAAACTTCTTGTATTAAATTTAAGAATATTTTCCTTAAGAAATGGAGAATAGCCCAGAATGGTGGCACATGCCTGCTATCCCAGCAACTCAGGAGGTTGAGACAGAAGGATTGCAAGTTTGAGGTCAGTCTCAGCAACTTTGTTTGAGGCCTTAAGCAACTTAGTGGGACCCTGTCTCAAAATAAAAAATAATAGGGTTGGGAATGGGCCTCAGTTATTAAGCACCCCTGGGTTAAATAACCAATACCAAAAAAAAAAAAGGGAGAATTCATTTAATAATATGTATATAATTCATAAGGCTAGGTATTCCTATTGCATTCTTCCAAAATACATTATCCATTTAAACTTTTGTTTTCTATTATAGGAAACAAGATTTTCAAGAACAAGAACCCTAGATACATGAAGTTAATGGAAGTTAATGGAAACCTTTCTTTGGCTTTTCCAGTTGTGACCTGTTTTCCACCAATTATGCAGCACATACCCATCCAACATCTTCTGCAGGCAACACAAGACTCCTCTTGAGCAGATACCATCAGACTCACATACAATCTTATTATTAAGGTTTTATTTAATTTCAGAGTGCAAATATTTTTCAGATGAGCATTAGCTTTTATAAACTAAGAAGCTATATTTTTGCCCTTAAACACCCCTTATCTGAGTATGACTTATATCCACATATATTGAAGCCAATCTGCCTGTCATGACATTTCCTTTCAAGCACTTGTTTTTTAGACCAGTAATCTTGCTACCAAAGTTAATGTTTATTCTCTTTCCTTCTCACATTTTTAATTAAAAGGTCTCCCAGCTACATTTGATTAACATTAAATCCCAAATCCAAACTGTTAAGTTTGATTTGTTTTTAATGGCTCCCCTTAAGTATGAGACACATCTTGCTTTTGTTGAATTTCTTTCAGTATTCCAGGTGAATACAAAAAAAATTTTGTTTTGTTTTTGTAATTAATCCAAGGTTTACAATAGTACAAGTCTAAATCACAGTGACTACAAAAAGTTACATAAATTCTAATACATTGGCAAATGCCACCTCAGGATGAATCACTTGTCAATTTTTTTCAACAGTCTAGGTCTTTCATGAGCAATGACTGTTTTGCTTACTATGTTTTTTACCCCCAGTTAAAATATTAAAATAGAGCAAAGCTAAGTTCATTTGCAGACTGAAATCATTAAGCAGTTTAATAGATGTATTTTGAAATAGTCTATTACAATTCTTAAAATTTAAAGATGGTGAAGAAAGGTCAACACTAAATGATGATAATATTGTACAATATTGTGCAAAGTTCTGAGAACTGGAAGAAATTATTTAAATTTTTCTTTTTCTTCTTTTTAGTTGTAAGTCACTTGCTTATTTTAAGGAAGAGAGAACTGGGTACATAGCAAAGAAATATCAAAACTAGTTTAACTGAATGAAACAAACTTTATTATTTTCCCTTATGTTGGTAGGTAAAACAAACTTTGTAAGTGGGCCATGGAAATAGAGGTCTCTTTTAAAAAGTGTCTAGACAGCCAGTGTCAATTTTGAAACTAAAAGTTAGATCTGAAGTCTATATTACCTTTAATTCACATTTTACATTTTTCTTCATAATTAAACTTTGAAAATATTACAACTGGATATTTCTTTAAACAGACAGACTGCATGTTCTATAGTTATAATGAAAAAGTAGTTAAAAACTCATGGAGAGTTTTTCCAGCAAACTTGTAGCTTGTGTCTTGGCTAAATACTCAAGGAGTAATATAGCATGTTGTTTAGTGTCTCCTTCCTAAAGAGAACTTTTGTATTGTAATTTATTTTTTATTATGCCTTAAATACCATGTAAATAAACCTTTAGTAATAAAGAATTATAAATGAAATGATTTGCTTACATTCCAAATTTGAAATTTTACATAGCAGATAACAAAACAGAGGTATATATTTATCTTCACTGAAAAGTTTTCTTAGTAGAGACAACCTGGGAGTCAATAATGGATAGAATTAGTTTCTACTGGGTAAGTAAAAGTATATGGATTTCCACACAATTGTTACACTGCTTTGGATAACTGGGAATTGGGCATAACAACACTACTTAGTTTGTGGACTCCTGAAGGAAAGGTATCAACTATTCTATTTGGTACTCCTGCAATACTCGCTCAACAGAGAAAACTACTAGCTTTCGGGTCTAGTAAAGAGATAGTGGCAAGTTATTAAATCTTTCCAAAAGTTGAAGCATATTTTTGGCTCTCTCCTGCTTTCATTAATCATGTGCGATTCCAGACTAGGATAGCATAATTAAAGCAAGGTTCTGTACCATCTTTTTCAGAAGGATGTGATGCCATCTCATTTCAAGTACTTTGATAGCAAAGCTTTCTTTTCCAAATAAAAGATACAAAATCCTAGTTCCTCTTCACCCCTAATATATGATGTAATTATGTGACCATCATTAAGACTGTAAACAGTAATTTAATAAACATCCAATTCTGGATGCTATAATAGCTACACTGAAAAAGACAAAAATCGGAGACTATGGCAAGTATTGGCCACAGGGCCTAATACATATTTATCTACTGACTGACCCTGCATATGCTCCCAGGTCTCTTTGTACTCTAAATTTATGAGAATCTATTCCGAGAGAGTTCCACTAAAATCTCTAGACGTATAGACAACATCTGGAACACAGCTGCTCAAGATTATTTAGTCGTGCAGAATTCTATAAAAATAAAACCGAAAATTTTCCTAAGTCTGTAACCGATTTCATTTTCAAGCAAAAGAGCAACGAGCTCTCACTTAAGAGTCAAAGAATCGCTGGTCAGTGAAACCAGGTGCGATTCTGGAAGGTAGCCACAGCCTACGGCATCTCCGGATGGCCATTTTAAGTTTTCTCGCTGACGTCACTTCCGGGGTTACCTGAGTCGTTACCGGGAGCCGCAAACAAGGTGTACAAGTATCTGAAGAGCTGTCGGGATGCAGCAGAGCGGAGCGGCTGGAGGCCGTGGCTGCGCGCTCTTTTCAGTGCTGGGCATCCTATTTTTCCAGGGTGAGTTGGCCGGCTGGCTGTGTCCCACTTCCGGCTGGGGGGGGTTAGGGAAGATGGTCGCTTTTCCGGTTCCGGGTGGGGGGGTCTCATCAAAGCCCCCGCTCGGTTTCTGGGAAGGAAGGAAGGGAGGGTGCCGCGGAGGATGTTCTCTTGGTTCACGCCACCCACAGAGGAGAGTTGCTCTCTTGTCAGTCCTTTCCTGAGCTCGACCACCTTGTCGCTGTATTTTGGTGATGACATGACTAGGTGGAACCACAAAGTTCAGGCTTTGGGGGCAACGCGTGGTTTTCTTGTATGAGATAATCTGTGGTAGTCTGCTGTTACCCTGATGACAGAAAGGAATTTCTAGTGGCCATAGTGGGTCCCTTTAGTTTTGGGAAACAAAATCGTTACTTGATAATTTTATTTTTTGTAAATGAATATCTTGGGCTATGAAATAAAACGTTTGTCACAGGTCATGATGTGATTTTGTTATTATACAGAAGTATATTGTTGAAGAAGCAGCAACTGCCTTAGCATTTAAAAAAACATTTTTAAAAATATAAGGTTATGTCGGTTCTTAATCGTCTGAGTGATATCAGAAATACATACGGACACAATAACACTTGTAAAAATTGAGTATGTTTTGATTTCATGTAATTTTCAAATTTTGTATATTTCGGTCCAACCTAATTAATTTCATTTTAGGGTGTAATTATTTCCTGTTTTTTTTTTTTTTGTGTGTGTGTCTTTTGGGGAAATCAAATATAATTACAGCAGCATTAGAGTGAATTTTTGATTTCATAAATCTTCCCTGTAAGTAATGGATATTTCTGAAATGAACCTTTAATATTATATAAATATAAATCAGGTGCCCTAATTCTCAGCAGGTAAGACTGGGAAGTTTTTATTTATCTGGTGACTAATATTATTGCTGCCAGCACACTCCCCAATTCCTCCCAGCTGCCTGTGTCATCATAAGTGTCCAGTTTTTCATCTAAATTCCTTTTGCAATATAATATTTAGTTTGACCTGTCACTTCAAATATACCCAGATCTCTTTCTCTCTTTCTCTTACACACACACACACACACACACACACACACGAAATGTCAAATATTCTATCAAGGAAAAAAATTTTCTAGAAATAATTGGTGTTTTCTTGAACTTAATGCCATTTCACATTGAAGAATTGCTTCAAATTCAGTGGACCAAATAATTCAAACATTAAAGTTGATTTTATCATCTTCTTGTATGTTGAGGAGATTTATATCTTTTTAAATAACAGGTGTATTGAGATATGGTCATATTCTATGCAATTTATCCATTTAAAATGTACAATTCAGTGGCTTACAGGAGTCATACAGTTGCATAATCATCACCACAACCAATTTTAGAATATTTTTGCCACCCCAAAGAGAAATCCTAAGCCCATTCCCACCTTCCCCCAACCCCTGATAACCACCAGTCCACTTTGTAACTTTGTGGATTTGCCTGTTCTAGGTATTTTATATAAATGGGATCATACAATGTATTTTCTTTTGTGACTGAATTCTTTCACTTAGTGTTTTTGATGTTTCATCTTTGTCTTTCTTTTTTGGCCTGACTTTTGAATCTGTTAGGTAATAGACTTTGTTTTCATACCAATATTTATTTGCCTTTCCTCTTCACAGATAGGACACATTTAATTATTAGTTTGTTCAAATTCTCCTTAAGTTATAAGTCTAATCCTATTATAGCAGTTGTTGAAATGTATAGAAATAATTGAGTAGGTAATATAGTCTTCTCTTTTCCATGTAAATGTGCCATTATATGAACAAAAGATTGGCAGATGCATATTTTGTAAAATCAAGTTTATAAAATTAGGAACTTTATTCTGTCATATTTCTTTAATTTCTTCCATTTATAAAATTATGTTAAATATGATTTTTCTGTTTTCTTCCCCAATTAAAAATTTTTTTATGGATATTTCTTTAGTTTACTGTTTTTACCTGTCCAGAATGCTCTTTGACTCAGGTAGAAAAATAAATATCTGCAAAGTCATTAGTCTAAGGTAGACATTTCTGAATGAATGTAATATTGGATTACAAGGGAAGAGACTTAGAAGGGGATTTGGTAGGGACTGTCAGAGATGTGAAATTTACATGTTTGTTTGTGTGTATATAGCACAATCAGTGTGGGGTGTTGGTTGGGGAGAGAATAAAGGAATTCTGATTTATAACTCTAATCCAGGTCTCTTCATTGCTCTTTGGAAAACTTTCCATAAATGGGTAGAGAGTAAATATTTTGGGCTTTTCAGGCACATAGTCTCTGTTGTAACTACTTGGTTCTGCAAAAAGTGCAAAACACCATGATAGACAATATACGTAAGCAAATGAATATGACTATTTTTTTTTTAAAGAGAGAGTGGGAGAGGGAGAGAGAGAGAGAATTTTTTTAATATTTATTTTTTAGTTCTCGGCGGACACAACATCTTTGTTTGTATGTGGTGCTGAGGATCGAACCCGGGCCGCACGCATGCCAGGCGAGCGTGCCACCGCTTGAGCCACATCCCCAGCCCCAGAATATGACTATTTTTAAAAAAATATTTATTTTTTAGTTTTAGGTGGACATAATATCTTTATTTTATTTTTATGTGGTGCTGAGGTTTGAACCCAGTGCCTCGCTCATGCCAGGCGAGTGTGCTATCACTTGAGCCACATCCCCAGCCCAATATGGCTGTTTTTTAATAAAACCTTGTTTACATAAATACGTTGAATTTTTTATCTGTGTATCAGGATAATTCTAGAGATTATAATTGGTTTACCTCCATCTGGATAACCCACAGAGCAGAGGGTAAGATTAGTTGCTAGTTTTTCTTAGTTTGCTCCTCTCATGAGACCCATTTGCATTTGGCCCATGGGCCATAGTTTGCTGACCTTTAACCTAAACCAACTGCTCCTTTGATAGTATCCCTTGGGTATCTCACATACATCCAAATTCATCCAGAATCAAATTCATGTTCCACTTCCAAGTCTGGTACATCTCTAGTCTTCCCTCTCTAGTGAGTAGCATCACCAAGTCAGGTGGTGTCATTCTTGACACCACCCTTTCCCTACATTAATTTTTCATGTTGCAATTATGTGATTTTTCTCCTTCAGGTTATACCAGCTCAGTCTAGAAGTGGTCATCTAGAGCTAGGCTTTTCCTGAATGGGTGCAATAGAAAGACAGAAGAATAGGGGAGTTAAGAGTGTTGAAAATACTGTAAAGAAGGTGATAGGGGGTGGGTGGGTTATTAATGAGTATATTTTGTTCCTGTACTAGAATTTATGGGGACTCATTCATCTCTTTCTCTCAGTCTCTCTTTTTCTGACCCCCTCTGTCTGAATTTTTGCCCCAGAGGTGCTTGAATTTAATGGAGGAAATAAATAGCATTCAAATTAACTTGCAATCAATGGCATATGTACTAGAGTAGCTCTGTGTACTAAGTATTATGAGAATGTTGAAGAAATAGTGATGAACTTTATCAGAAAATTTAGGAAAGCATCACAAAGGGGCTAATATGTGTGTGTTTTTTTAAGAAGTGTGATTGTTGAGGGTACGGTGTGATGGAGAAAAACCCAGGCAGGATTGGTAGAGATGGGGACAACCTTCCAGACGGAGACATATTCAAGGAAAGACACAGGTCATGAAAGGACACAGTGCCTTTGGGAAATGGAAAGACATTTTAGGCATGGTAAAGGGGATGGGATGGGTAGGTGGCAGAGTGGCAGAAGTTTGGGGCCAAATTGTTGTTTGGGTTTTATTCCATGATGCAACAGGGAATTACTGAAGGCTTTTAATCTATATAATGTTCATTTTAATAATAATATTTATTGAAAAATTTTATTATTAAGCATTTTAGGTGTTATCATTTTAATTGTATTGAATCTTCACAATAATCCAATGAAGCAGATTTGGTTATTATTCCTACATACTAAGTGAGGAAATTAAAGTTTGAACAGGTTGGGTAACTGATCATGGTCTCACAGACAGAAAGTTGCTGAGATAGAACTTAAGTTCAGGTCTGGCTAATTCTAATCCATGCTTTAAATTCTGTACTGTACCTGTAATACTTGTGCTTTAGAATAAAAGAGTGGGATGAGGGGACAATACAGATTATCCATTTGTTTCCACCTTCCAGTTTTTAGACTTAGGTAAGGATTTTTCCACATTAATGTGTCATTGAAGTTGTTATTAGTGAGCTCAATCTTGGTCTCCTCCTTTTAAGAGGAATGTGACCAAACTAGATTGTCTAGAGAGGAGTGACAAAAATGATTCAAAGCAGGCAGAGGTAGAGGCAGGGGAACTGATGACTCAGAGCTGTCTGTGGTAGGAAAGATCGAGACAGTGTAGAAGAACTGAATAGGTGAATGTTGATACTGATGGTACTAAGATGAATTGGACGATAACTCAGTAGCTCTTGGTAAGCTTCTAGTGTTGTACATGTTTTAACTCATTTAATCCTCATAGTGACCTTCCCATAAGGTCCTTGTAAGAATGAGGAGATGGAGCACATATAGTAGCTTGCTGAGGGCCAAGCAGTATCACTGGGATTTGAACTGGGATTTGGACTGGGACTTGAACCCTCTTCATTCTGTGTGTCTTTGGCTAACAGAAGAATCATGGCTCATTGAGGTGGATAAAGAAGCAGGAAAAACAAAGTGCTAGAGACTTAATTTTCTAAAATATGACTCTTTAGTGGAAAATAAGTTTCTACTATTTTCTGAAAGCAGAAATTAATAAGAAAAAAATGCCAGCTCTTTTGGGGGAGATGTCGTGTCAAAGTTGAATATGAGCGAATATGAGTAGGTCTCTGCAGGGTTTAAAAATGCTCTCTTATTTTTGCATTGTAGAATGCATCCAGTTTTTCTGTTTTCCTCCCCATAAGTAAATTTGAACAAATGTGTGATTAATTAACTAGCTTTAATAAAGAGGGGAAAACCAGATAGGCCACGGAATAGTTTTTTTAAATTCTTTGAAAATTTTTCCTATTCTTATTTCCTATTCTCATTTTACTGGTGATTGAGACAGTGACAGCTTCTTGCTACATTCATGCTGTACTTGGGGTAAGTCCCTTAGACCCCACGAAAACTGTCATATTCCCAGAGCATGTGTGTGCTCTGGGGTTTGGGAAATGGAAAAGGGTGAATGGTGTTGCCTTTTTGCCTACTGTGGACAGCCCTGCTCACTTGTACTTAATTTAACCATAAACTTGCATTTTGGAAAAAATGCTTGTGTGACTAGGTTTTAAATTTTACCCAAGTATTCAATCTATGATTTAAGATTACAGAATGATAAAAATGCTATCCTAGATTAATGGGGATATCAGGTCCTTGTCCCTTGTGGGATTGCCTGAGAAGACATTGATTGCCCTGACTTTTTGATGAGAGCCATGAAAATGATAAATAGCATGCCTGTGTTGTTCATTGACATCTGTACATTCCACCAAAATTAATACACTTTAAATGTTTGGGCTTGCTTTGATTAGGTGTTCATATCGTCCTTTCCTTGGAGATTAATGCAGATGTTCATGTCCGAGGTTATGTTGGAGAAAAGATCAAGTTGAAATGTACCTTTAAGTCAACTTCGGAAGTCACTGACAAACTGACCATAGATTGGACATACCGCCCTCCCAGCAGCAGTCGCACAGAGTCTGTAAGTGTGTACTTTTCAGAAAGCTGCTTTGAGTCTTCTGGGTCAACAGTTTTGAAATCTTTTTATTGCAAATAACAGACATTCATGAAGCCTTCTCCTCTTAGAATAGAAGATGGACTTCTATGTAAAGGGAAGGAGATGAGCTTCTGCCCTGTGTGACATTTATTTGATCACAGAGGACGTTTTATTCTTCCATTTAAGAATCTTGCATATAAGTTGGGTGTGGTGGCACATGCCTGTAATCCCAGCAGGGATTAGGAAGCTGAGGCAAGAGGACTGCAAGTTCAAAGCCAGCCTCACAATTTAGCGAGACGCTAAGCAGCTTAGTAAGACCCTATCTCAAAATTAAAAATTAAAAAGGGCTGGGGATGTGCCCAGTGATTAAGTGCCCCACGGTTCAATCCCTAATACCGAGAGAGAGAGAGAGAGAGAGAGAGAGAGAGAGAATCTTGCATATAATTTGCAGGAATAAAATGGCCAAAAAACTAGAGGAAATATGGTTTAATTTTTTTATAGCTTCATTTTCACATTTGATCTACTAAGAAGTGTATCTCCAGGACCACTGACTAAAACAGTTCTATGGGTCCCAGTCACAGACATCCTTTCTCTTAAAACTAGCTGCTCATTTCCTGTTAAATAAAGTTGTCTCAGTGGGTGTATCTGCTTGTATAGCTATACTTTGTAGATTTATCTTGGCTTCTTCTCCCAGCAGGTAAACATCTGCAGTGATTTATATAGCTGCCTTTGAAGAAAGTGGTGGCACCTTGTGTTGGTGATAGATGTTGTTGGTGACAGATGGTCTTGCTATATTAGAAGCAATATACTTTAGTCACACATATAGAAACCATTTATGGTTCAAATCCCATTGCGGGTATCTAATTGAAGATTAGATACTATAAGACACCCTTTCTCTTTATGATTCCAGCAGTATCCTTAGCTCAGTATAAGTGCTATTCAACAATGTGAATCTCACAACCATATATGTAAGATTAGTTTTTTGAAAGTATTCTTAACTTATTTATGCTGTTTTCCTTCGTTGGGAAAACTTTCCCTTTCATTTTAATGTGTAAGCTTTGAATTCTGTTTTGGAGTCATTTTTCAGTGCCACGTAGCTTGGAGCTAGGCAGTTAATTCTAGGGAAGGAAGCTAGACTGCATTCGTGGTTCCTTTTTCTTTAAAACAGTTAACTTTATTCTGAGTATTCAGGAAACCATGGCTGCCCTTGTTTGGCTCAACCTCCTTGGCCAAAAGTAGGACAGAGCAAGCAATGAGCTTCTTGGGTCAGAAACCTTATAGACAAACAGTGGATCTCTGTGAGACTGGTAGAAAACCAGCAAACCCACCCAAGTTGGACTCAGTAGACCTTTAAAGTCACATAATGTAATGTTGCAGTTACACAGTTAGTGTAACTGCGTTGATCAATTAGTAAGGATTTGAGTATCACTAATTTAGTATGGAACTTATTGGTTAGATTAACCTTGAAGATACACAGCAGCCTTGTTTTGTCAATCAGGACTTTCAAACCCTTTTATCCTGATGCTGGTAATCAGTGGTAGGCTCTCTTTACCTCCCTTTGGAACACTCATCTCACATAATATTTCTTGATAACTGTATTTACCACTAGAATGTAAGTTCCATGAGGGTAGGAACTGTGCCTGTGTGGCTCCCAGTGTACTGTTTTTTTTTTTTTTAACATACTGCCTAGAATGCACTCTGCATGTAGTATTTGTTGAACAAATGAACCAACAAGTGATTCAGCATCTTCTCTGAGAAATTGCTGTTCAGTTGGGAAATTCAGTGGTTATAAATGCCTAGTTGCTTAAGTGGGAAGTTACCAAGAAAACAAAGGAATTGTTTGTATCTTGAATCTTGCATAAGAGAGAAAACTTACATTGTTTTGTGTACCTGGCTGACCCACCTCCAGGTATAATCAGGGGCTTTTGATGATGAAGTGTCTGATCACCAAGTCCAGTCCAGCACTGTTTTAATTCAGTATATATTCATTGAGTCCTTTTTATGCATTTGACTTGGATTTATATTAACTTCCAGGGTAGATAATGTGAGAGAGACTGGATTATATTACACTATGCCAGTGATTTTGAGAATAAACAAAAATCTCCCTTTTGTTACTTAATAATAGGTACCATTGAGTAAGTCAGTTTTTTGTTTGTTTATTTGTTTGTTTTTGGTCTTGTTCCCCTTTCCATAAATTTGGAATAGTTAGTTATGTGTTAGTTATAACACATATCATTTAGTGTTATTATAAGGCTAAAGTGAACAAATATGTGGAAGTCATTTATAAACTATAAAGTGCTATAACAATATGAGACATAACTTTAGAGCAAGGTTTCTCAACTTTGGCACTGTTGACATTTTGAGCCAGATGATTCTTTGTTGTGGGGGCCATCATCCCATGCACTGTGGGAAGTTTAACAGTAATTCTGGCTTCTATTCATTAGATGCCAGTAGGCTCATCTCCCCACTGTGACAACAAAAATGTCTCCAACTCAACAGTGAGAAAACAAAGAACCTAATTAAAAAATGAGCAAAGGATCTGAACAGATAATTCTCAAAAGAAGAGCTATCAATGGCTATCAGATACATGAAAAATGTTCCATATCTCAATTATTATGGAGATTCAAATTAAAACCACAATGAGATATCACCTCACATCTGTTAAAATGATTATTATAAGAAAGACAAGTTATAAAAAATGTAGGAAGGATTAGAGAATAGGGAACCCTGTATACTGTTTGTGGGGATGTAAATTAGTATAGCCATTTTGGAAAATAATATGGAGGTTCTTAAAAAACTAAAAATAGGGGCTGAGGTTGTGGCTCAGTGGTAGAGGACTTGCCTTGCATGTGTGAGGCACTGGGTTTGAGCCTCAGTACCACATAAAAATAAATAAATAAAATAAAGATATTCTATCCATCTGAAAAAAAACTAAACAAACAAACAAAAATAGCTAGGTATATAGCTCAGTGGTAGAACACTGCCAGAAAAAAAAATCACATTGTATCCCATGAATATAATAATTATTATTTGTCAATTAAATATAAATAAATAAGTTTTGAAGATGGAAAAAAGTCTCCAACTATTGCCAAATGTTTTATGAGGAGCAGAGTTTCCCTGGTTTAAAGCTATTACTTTAGGATGTTAAGAATTTAGAAGAGATTCAAGAGTTAGGATCCCAGGATTCTTTCATTATTCCTTTTTTGAATTGGCCGTTAGGATAATAGGATGAACCAGAGGATGAAGGTGAAAAAAAAAAAAAAAAGCATTTAAAAATTTTCCCAACTACAAGAACCCATTTATATAGTTGTATTTTACTTTGGAACTACTTAGCTTAACATTTTCCAAATTAACATTTTTCTCTCATGGTGTTGCTTTCTTAGATTTTTCATTATCAGTCTTTCCAGTACCCAACCACAGCAGGCACATTTCGGGATCGGATTTCCTGGGTTGGAAATGTGTACAAAGGGGATGCATCTATAAGCATAAGCAATCCTACCCTTAAGGACAATGGGACATTCAGCTGTGCTGTGAAGAATCCCCCAGACGTGCACCATAATATCCCCCTGACAGAGCTAACGGTCACAGAAAGGGGTAAGCTTATTGCCATCAGCCTTCTGCAGTGCTTTGGGATTGTTCTGGAGTGCTCATTGAAAAAGCAATGAGTTGGGTCATTGGATCCAGTTGAGTCATTGGATCATTGTGACAAAGTGATTTATCTTGCTGTCCTGTTAAGATGAATTTTTCATCTTTATTCTGAAAACTGAATTTTCTCTTCAAATTTTGTCATAGTTTCTCCATTATCCCCTTTTCATTTTAGCCTCAGGTAACCAAAGTTCTTGTGGAATAGATGACAAACCCTTTAGTAAATGGAAGGTTAGCATCTCTGTGAAACAGAAGTCACTCGGGTTTTCCTAATACGTTCACATTCCCAGCTATGAGACAGTGTTCTTGCCTATGTCTTGAAAGGGTATTTCCTCTGTTGATGGATGTGGTACATTTCTTTTATGTTACCAAGGGCAGCAATTTCCTTTTAGTATAAAACAGGTTGAGAGGAAGTTGAGGACTGACCTTTTTTTCCTACATTTTTCCTTGGTGACTATTAAGTGGTTATTCTAGTTCTTAATTGAATTTAAACCAAAGATTTAGAGATACATTATGATTCATCATCGTTACCTTATCATTCTTGGGTCTTCCCTCCCCTGCCTTCCTTCTTCCTTCTTCCCTCTTTCCCTTCTTCCCTTTCTCTTCTTCCTCAAATTCCTTCTTCCTCTTTATTGTCTTTTGTCTTTATCTTCTTCAACAATAACTGACAGGTTTCAAAGACATGAGCACATTCATAATGCTGGAATGATTAGAAACTGATTAAGTTTTTCTGGAAGGCATTTTGAGAATAGGAATTAGATTCTTAGAAGTATATGTCCTTTGATCCTGTAATTTCATTTCAAAATTTAATTTTAAGGAAATAGAGGTAAACATGAGGATTTATGTACAAGGATGTTCATCCTAATGTGACTTTCGAACTCAAAAGAATTTGAAATAAACTTGAATGCCTAGCATTAGAGGATTGATTTAATAAATTTTTTCAATATGGCAGGATACTATGCAGCCATTAAACATCACATCTAGAAGGGATTTTTAATGACACGAAAACATGTTTATTATATTTAGCAAAAAAATGTTAAAATAATATGTAGCATGATTTCTAGATCTACGAATATGCACCTTACCTTCAAATGCACCCCCATAAACAATACCCCTTGAAAGAAGATTGAATCGGTAAATACCAATGTGTTATTCCTAGGTAGTGGAATTATGGGAGAATTTTTATTCTTCATTGCATTTTTGTGCATTTTCTACATTTTCCACAATGAATTCATTTTCTTTGTAATCATAAAAAGTACAAGTGCAAAAGCAGAAATTCTCTCATGTCAGAAGAAGCACTTTTACACCTTTTCTTTTTTCCCTCTAGGTTTTGGCACCATGCTGTCCTCTGTGGCCCTTCTTTCCATTCTCGTCTTCATTCCCTCAGTGGTGGTGGTGGTTCTGCTGCTGCTGAGAATGGGGAGGAAGGCTGCGGGGCTGAAGAAGAGGAGCAAGTCTGGCTATAAGAAGTCATCTATTGAAGTTTCAGATGAGTAAGTCCAGCTGCAGCCCTAGTAAACCTATTTCTTTTCAGGGCCCTGCACCCCTGTATCCAGAATTCTATCATGTTGAGTTTAGTTCTGCTGGTGGAGTTTCCTTTTGGACAGGATGGTTCTGGTTGAAAGTGACACTTGTGGATATTGATTTGGAGGGAGTTGGAGGGACTGATAGTATTCTCCTCACCTTCTCCTTTGGAAATCAGATTGTGCAATATTGTGGTTCTAAACATTTTTTCCCCATTGGGTACTGGGGATTGAACTCAGGGGCACTCAACGACACTGAGCCACACCCCCAGCCTATTTTGTATTTTATTTAGAGACAAGGTCTCACTGAATTGTTTAGCGTTTTGCTTTTGCTGAGGCTGGCTCTGAACTCATGATTCTCCTGTCTCATCCTCTCGAGCTACGGGGATCATGGGCATACACCACCATGCCCAGCACTGACATTTTTTAAAAGTAGATATCTCATTTTTTTCAAAGTTTAGGGGAAACTCCAAGTCAGTTTTTTTCCCCTTCTCTCTCTGTTTCTCTTTTTGGCACTAAGCTGATTTCTCCTGACAGAAAGAAAATACATGTGCAATGAGGGAGGCTTTAAGAATAGCCATGGAGAGTAAGGACAATTTAAATAAGCAAGATCTATTCTTGGTCAGCAGATGCTCCAAAGGGCTAAGTGGATTGTGGTTATCAAAAGCATTTATTAAACATCATTCTGCCGGTGAGCAGCCATGATCCAGTATTTTCCCTCAAAAGATGTCTACTAAAAAAAGTAATAAAAATTAACATAAAAACCCTGTGAGTTCTTTATTATCTGTATTAGGAGTCTTTAACATGGGGAGGAAAGTCTGACCCTTAAAGGGTCCAAAATTTTTATTCTCTCTGTGTGTGTGGAGAGAGAATGCCCTTAGTAAATAATCTGTGGTTCCCCCAAAATAAAGAACTATTGACCAAAATCCCAATGTCTATTTCAAAATATGGTATACAAAACCTTTCATCAACTGATCCTAAGTCACACACTGCTTTCTATAATTTCTTCTCATTCACCCCACCTCAACTATAGTGAGCTTATTTTTCCCACTAGACATACTACATTTAAGTATAGACATATTGTTTTTATTTTTCCTTGCCTCCTTTCTGCTTTTTTTTTAGTGGTGCTGGGGATTGAACCCAGGGGCTTGTGCATGCAAAACAAGCATTCTACCAAGTGAGATATGTCCCCACAGCCCTTTCCCTCTCTTCTTTGCTGGGAAACTCTTTCTTATCTTCTAAGAACAGCTGAAATATCCCCTTCTCTTGACTCTTCCTGAGTTCTGAAGGGTGAATCAGTCACTCTCTGCCCTTTACTGCCACAGCAGTTTCACCTTAATTCTATTAAGACATTTATCACATTGTATGATATAATACTTGTTAAGTTATAGAAGACCCCTCACCCCTGCCATGAGATCATTGGCTCTTCGAGGGACCAGGTTTTATTTATCTTTTTATCCCTAGTGCAGCACAATGCCCCAGACATTGTTGGTGCTTAGTACTTTTTTGAATGAATGAATGGTTATGACTAGCTGCTATTTATTGAGCACTTACTATATGCTGGGCATGTAGTGGTAATATCTACATTTCATAGATGAGGAAAGAAGCTCCTGGAGTTGAAGTGATTTGTCCAGTTATCCTGCTAGTAAGTGGAAGAGCTGGGGTCTAAACCCAGACCTGTCTGACTTTAAGACCTGAGCTTTTAACTGGCCCACTATACTGGATAGTGACAATAGGGATTTGGTTTGTACCCTTTCCACAGCACTGACCAGGAGGAGAAAGATGAGTGCATGGCAAGGCTTTGTGTCCGTTGTGCCGAGTGTCTGGTAAGTCCTTGCCATTTCTTCTGTTGACTGTGGTGTCTCACTTTCCTCCCTGCTTAAGGGGACTCTATGTCCTCAAAGGCAGCAGAGAATATACAGGTAGGTCCAAAGAAGGTATGAACCAGTATTTCCCCAAAGCATTTTGGCCTCTAGGGATCTCTACCAATTCTAAGAATGATTTTTTTTTTTCCTGCCTCATGGGCATAGAGTGGTATTCTTAGGTCAGGAATGGGGCTAGAAGAGGAATGTCTCATGCCATTGAATTCATACTAAGACACTTCAACTCACTGGATCCAGAACCTTGAATTTAACTTTTAGGCTGAGCTTTGGTATTTTCCAGGGAGTTAGAGTTTTAGGTAACTTAATGTCTTTTATCAATAAGAAACACTATTTTGGAAGGCCCAATTTTTCATTTAAATTTCAAAAAACTATCATCCTTCCCCCTTTGGGCAATTGCTGTGACTAATAGGCATGTGTAGCTATCCTAGGATCGAAGGAGGAGGGAAGGCTCTCTGATGTGGTACAGTTGGAAATAGGTCAAAAGCAACTTGTGATCTAGTGTGAAACACACCTGTCATTTCAAGGTCCAAACTTGAGCCCTCTTTGTACTTACTGCCAAGCTCGGCACTTGGTCACATGAGTGTAGCCTAATTATTTATTGCAGTAATCTTTGTTTCTGCTTCTCTCCAGCCCTTGAGTAACATATTAAGATGAGGGAAAGATTATTAGTGCTAGGGAAGAGGGAGTACCTGATGCCAACTCTTCAGGCTTTGAATATTTTTATAACACAAAATAAGTTAGTGTTCTTATGGTTATTATTTGTTGAGCGTCTGACACATGTCACATGCCTTCTTGTAGGGAAGGACATGTCACTTCCTAACCACCATTCTAGGTGGCTATGAAACAGTAGAATGGTGGTTAGGAAGCAGCAGTGAAGAAAAACTGACAAAAACTTCTGCCCTCAAAGAAAGAACTTAACATTCTTTTCCTGATAAACTTTCTCATCCTCCCAGATCCAGCTGAAATGTCACCTTTGCTTAAACTGGGGTACAAACACTGACTTAATCTTAAAAATAAGTAAAATATATACTATACCAGGTAGTTTTAATGCTATGAAGAAAAATAGAACAGGAAAGAGAGATGGGACGGCTGGATAGGGGTGTATGAGGATGGTTGGGGACACCCTCAGTAAGATGATATTTATGCAAACTCCTAAAAGAAGTAGATAGCAAGCCATATGGCCACTGTGGAGGAGCATTTCTAGATTGGGGAGATGAAGAAAAATTAACCAAGGAGGCTGAGAAGTCATAATCAATAAGGTTGAAGGAAAACTGGGTGAATTTGGCATACTGGGAGATAGGGAAGAAAGTGTTTCAAGGAGGGCAAATAAAATGAGAACTGAGAAGTGATTGTTGATGGTTGATAATGTGCAGGCCATCGGTGACCTTTGTAAAAGTGGCTCCAGTGGAACGGTGGAGTCGAAGCCTGACTCGGGGAGGTCAAGAAAGATTCCAAAGAGACACTGGAGAATGTGGGTGTGTACAGCTTGCCTTGCTGTAGCCCGATTCAGAGAAATAGACAATACATGGAAGGAGGAATGTGTCAAGAATTATTTTTTTTTATTATGGGAAAAATTGAGCAAATTTATCAGCTGATGGGAATGATCCAGTCAAGAAGGAAAAATTGATGCTGCAGAAGAGAGAAGGAGGGTTGTTGGGGGTGATGCCAGGATTTAGTGCACACGTGGAGATGTTGGATTGAGGCAAAGGCAGTAGGAGTGTGAAAGAAGAGTAGGGAAGGCCAAAAAGATGGGGCCATATGCTTGTCAGTGGTAAATACGATGATGGGAGACTGCTTCTCTATTCCCAGTGATAGGAGAAAGCAGTACCATCAGCTGAGAATGATGGGAGGAGGTGTTAGAAGATAAGGGAAAGAGGCTAAGTTATGAAATAGACATTTGGGAGAATAGGAGAATTAATGACCTGTGAAATGCCAGGTAATGCTCATGGCCCAACTTAAGTTAGAAGTAATGTATGTGAGTTTCTGTAATAAGAATAAGAATCATGGTAATAGGAGCTAAGCTTGAATGAGTGTTAAAGGTGGCAGGCACAGCTAAGTAATTTACATCTATTGTCTCATTCACTTCTCATAATGGTACTGTGAGGTGTATTTTTATTATCCCCATTTCATAGATAAGGAACCTGAGTCTTAGAGAAGTTGAGGAACTCTATCTAGCCAGGTGCAGTGGACACACCTGTAGTCCCAGCAGCTCAGGAAGCTGAGGCAGGAGGATTGCAAGTTCAAAGCAGCCTCAGCAACTTAGCAAGGCCCTAAGCAACTCAGAAAGATCCTGTCTCCCATTCCCCTCACAACCTCTTATATGTAATTTTGTATAACAATGAGGGTCTCCCTCCATTACCATGCAATTTCCCTTTCTCTCCCTTTCCATCCCACCTCATGTATCTGTTTAATGTTGATCTTTTCTTCCTGTTCTTCCTCCCTGCTCTGTTCTTAGTTGCTCTCATTATATCAAAGAAGACATTTGGTATTTGTTTTTTAGGGATTGGCTAGCTTCACTAAGCATAATCTGCTCTAGTGCCATCCATTTCCCTGCAGATTCTATGATTTTGTCATTTTTTAGTGCTGCATAATACTCCATGGTGTATAAATGCCACATTTTTTTTTATCCATTCATCTATTGAAGGGCATCTGGGTTGGTTCCACAGTCTAGCAATTGTGAATTGTGCTGCTATGAACATCGATGTAGCAGTATCCCTGTAGTACGCTCTTTTAAGGTCTTCAGGGAATAGTCCAAGAAGGGCAATAGCTGGGTCAAATGGTGGTTCCATTCCCAGCTTTCCCAGGAATCTCCATACTGCTTTCCAGATTGGCCGCACCAGTTTGCAGTCCCACCAGCAATGTACAAGAGTACCCTTTTCCCCACATCCTCTCCAGCACTTGTTGTTGTTTGACTTCATAATGGCTGCCAATCTTACTGGAGCGAGATGGTATCTTAGGGTGGTTTAGTGGATGGTGTAGTGAGAGAAGATGGGAGGGGAGGGAGGGGGGATAGTAGAGGATAGGAAAGGTAGCAGAATACAACAGTTACTAATAGGGCATTATGTAAAAATGTGGATGTGTAACCGATGTGATTCTGCAATCTGTATTTGGGGTAAAATTGGGAGTTCATAACCAACTTGAATCTAATGTATGAAATATGATATGTCAATAGCTTTATAATGTTTTGAACAACCAATAAAAAAAAAATAAAAATGGATGGTCTATATAAATGCAAAAAAAAAAGAAAGATCCTGTCTCTAAATAAAATATAAAAAAGGGGCTGGTGATGTGGCTCAGTGGTTAAGTGACTCTGAGTTCAATTCCTGGTACCAAAAAACAAAACAAAACAAAAATCCTCAACAACAACAACAAACCACAAAGAACTTTATCCAAAGTTACACAGACAGCAAAGGGTGGAACTCAAAGTTAGAGCGACTCCTACTCTAAACTCCTAACCCTGGTCTTGTGCATTCTGCTGAAGGCAGTCACCTTTTCTTGTGTGTTGTGGTTTTCAAAAAATATTCACCAAGGAAAAGGGAGCCATTAGGGCTTTGAGGAGGAAAATATCCCAATGAACACATTTCATTGAGGTCTTGTGAAGTTTCATGGGAATTTAGGTGGGTTGAGTCAGTGGCATTTCAATCTTATTGTAAAAGTCAGCTTTCACTGGAGGATCCAAAGGTGTGATCTTTGCTTAGATTCTAACTGTGGTGTTGCACTTCATGTGTACACCCCCCATGCTGCTCTTTCCTCTGTAGGATTCAGACTATGAAGAGACATACTGATGAAAGTCGGCAGAATGTAAGAAGAGTCACCTAACAACAGAAAACATCCATTCTGCTGCAGCTGTAGCCTTTCCAAAGGAGGGGAGCTGGCCAGGACAGCAGTGACGGAGGATTCTGGAGGTCTTCAGTAAAGACTATGAACCATTTATTTATTGAAGAAATCTTCTTTTTGTATTTATAAACTGTTCAGAAACTTTCATAAGAGACTCATGACTTCCCCTTTTAAAAAGTTACACTCTAATTGAATGAAGAAATTCTTTCCTTGAAGAGAAAGATAACTTTTTGGTTTACCTTTGCTCTTGAATGTATTATGTTTTCTTCCAATTGTTTGAAGGAGAATCCTAAATGTGTGCCACACTGCTGATGCCAAAGTGCTATTTTTTACTGAAGCAAAGCTTGCAGCTCCTGATGATGGGCTACCAGACAAAAGGCTTGTTTGGGATAGATGTCCATTGTTTTTTAGCCATGAACTTTTCCAGCTGTGAGTCTACAACATACACTACTTGGTTCAATGATATAATCATTGGTTGTATCTGGGTGACTTGGAATGAGCCCCTAATTTTTTTAGAGTTGTTAGGACCAGGAGTCATTGGTTTGCTTTGACTGGGTTTTTAAACTATTAAAGTATTATCATTTACACTTAAGGAAAGGACTAGTGAGGTAGAGGAATTATTTTTGTTTGTCTTGCTAGGTGCAATTTGGGCCAAGGAGCTTTGTCATTCTACTTTCCTATAGTTGACTAATTTGTGGTTTCCTTCTTGACTTTTCAGGTCAGAGGCAAGAAAAACTCCTCAAAAGGTTTTAAGTGGGGACTTATAGAATATATTGAACAGTTAGTTGAAATTAAATCTTTTCACTTGTATTGTTCTTCAAAACTTTTTTGGTCTAAAATACACCAATTATGAGTGAACTATGGTATTTGCAAGCTATTTTGCATAATATTGGAGAGGAGGAAGTAAGGTTATGCACAACATCTATGTCTTCTTTCTCTTCTCTCTATACCTCAAAACACATTCCTCCATTCTACAGCAACCTACTTCACTTTTTGATTATCCCTTCTCCCATCTTTGTTGTTTCAGCAGAGAATGGTCCCTTTCCATGGTTCTTCCCTAGGTGGCTCAGGAGGCTTTCCTATGGTAGTATTATATACTATATATGTTTTTTAAAAATCAGTTCTACATTTTCTGCCAAGATCTAATTTCTAAAATTTGTGCCATTAATTCCATCCCAATGATTTGGCCTGGTCTCTTTTGTTAATTTAGTGCACAGATTAGAAAATCTGGTTATTTGATAGATATTTTTGAATTGTTTCTGGTCACATCAGTCTGTTGCAGAGGCCAAGACAGGACTGATGTTTACATTTCCAGTGATTAAATTTTATACTTTTTTTTTTTTTCACCATTTGTTAATTATGTGATTCTCTGTGGTCAATTTAATGAGACCATTCTGGTGCCTCAAAAGAGAGGAAAATTTGAGCAGCTGATCTTGAAGATTTAAAAATAGAGATGAAATACTGAGGGGGACTTTTTGTGGGTCTCATTTCTCTGAGAGAGAGAGAGAAGAGATCACGTTACAGGAACCCATTTGAAGCCACATCCCATTGAAGGAGGAACCAGAGTTTGGGTTAGGTTTTCTTGCAAAGATTAGTCTGTCTTGGATGTTTGCTGCTTTAGGTAAATGGTGCTCTGTGAATACTCAGACATGTTATTTTGTAGCCTTTATCATGATTTGACCCAGTCCCTCTATTTTAAATGACAGAACAGTAGAATCCTTCATGGTAAAGGAATAAGTTGGTACTTTATTCTGCTTCATGGGTTTGTGGTCACATCCCAGTCCAGGCTGCCCTGTTTCCTTCCTGTGTATTGACACTTGAGTTGCTGCTTTTTACCTCCAAAGGAGCAGAAAAGTGTATAGACCCGTGCCTTCTTAGAGGATGGAAGAAAGATAAAGTGTTTTCTTTTTGTTTGTTTAATGTACTGTTTTAATAACTTCTAAGGTCTTAGTCTATTTATTTCCTTTTGCTGCTCTGTGGGCACTTATCACACCATGTGGTGACTAGCCTTATCTAGAGAGGGAGTTTCATTAAAAAGGCATTAAAAACCTTCAGATTTTTTCTTTGCTTTCTCAAGCTTTCTTGTGGTTATGTTATCTTACCAATTTTATGCATTAGGTTTCTTAATTCTGTTACACAATGTAAATTTATAAAGTGCTTTGTGTTTCCCCTGTTAGCTGTTACTGCAGGTCACGTGGGAAACATCTTAATTCTCTTGAATTGGGTGCTATTGCTTCAAGAGAGAAGCTTGCACGTGCTTGTTTTTAAAACAACAACAACAAAATTCTGGGGACCATATCCTGAACTTGAATGTTGCATAATGAACTACTCAGCTGTAGTCATAAAGGAGAACTGTAAGAATATCCATTGGAATGGAGCAAGACTATTACTTAATTACACAACTCAAAACTTTTAGAAGAGGCAGCTGCATTCCTTTGTCTGCAGTGTTGGACTGTTAACTGCTATACCTGGTTTCCTTTTTTGTTCATTTGTTTTGTAGGAGGGCATGCACTGTTAGGCCATGTGCACACAATTGTAACTCTTGGTATCTTTATTCTATCACAGTTAATAAAGTTCTTTGTACCTTCTGGCTACCTCTTGGTGTATGTCTTACTTATGAGAGTTGTTATGTGAGGAAAAGGGGGGGTTTGTGGTTTTCAGCATTGAGTAATAGATTTGTCTGAGCTGAAACCCAGCAAGAACCTACAGCTCACATAGCAGGGCTGATAATAAATTTTCCGAAAATCTGTGAGCTGGTTGCCACGCTGATGGTGACTTGAAATTGCCTAATGGTGGAAATATTCATCCTACAGAGACTGCTGCCTTACCAGCATATCACTTTTCAAGGACCATGCAGCATGGTCCTTGGGGAATGCAAACATTCACAAGCCTTTCATGTGATATGGACAAGTTCCATAAGGCAAGTATACTCAGGCCAATTGGTCAAGTCAATTGAGTTCAGGTTGAAGGCTACATTGAGAATGCTTATTTTAAAGTAGTGAGTTAGACTGAGAGAGCCCTCACACTGAAGAAAACTTGACTTCTTATCTGGGATGTCCAAGTCACCCAAGTGGTTCTCTGGAAGAATAACTGACTGTCTGTATGCTGGAAATGCTGATAACTCACCGTCACAGGAAATCTACACGGCTAGATGGTGAGTTGGAGGACTGAGCAGGGATGGGATAATTGACTGGCTATGTGGCACCTCTGTATTGAGAGAAAAAATGAGAGGTTGCTATATCTTAAAACAGATTTTTTTTTTTGTACCAGGAATTGAACCCAGGAGTGCTTAACTAGCCACATCCCTGGCCCTTTTTATATTTTATTTTGAGACGGGGTCTAACTTGCTTAGGAACTTGGTAAGTTGCTGAGGCTAGCTTTGAACTCATGATCCTCCTGCCTCAGCCTCCCAGGCTACTGTAATGTCAGGTGTGCCTGGCTCAGTCAGATGTTTTGTGTCAATCTTTATTGATTTTGTTTTCATGAAACTGATTTCTTTTTCAGCAAGTTTACTTGATGCCACTCAAGATCCTACCCTCAGAAAGTTTGTAATGTGGAAGGGGAGATGACACCTGCAGAGATCTGGGATGTGAGGCCCACCTCAGTAAGTTGAATTAAGAATGTTTTTTAGAATGAAAATACAAATTAAAAGTGGGTAATGGGCCAGATGACTGAAACAAGAACCTTGATTTGGAGGTTCCTGTTTGTCTCTGCAGCCACCCCGGGACATGTATGCATGCATGCACATTTGCTGTGATGTGCTTAGAGCTTGACGTAGTGTGTTGGCAGAAGTCTCTTCAGTCTGGTGTGGGACCTGCAGCAGTGGAGGATTTAAGTGCATTGCTCGTCCTGGGTATCTTCATCTTGGGTAAGATACTGCTTTGTATTTTGTGAGCTGTTATTGGAACTTTTCTCAGAAAGCTTGTTCTCACTCAGAGGAAAGCTAGTTTAATTGGCGACCTCAGGATCATTGTGGAGCCAATTGCAGAACTCTTGTTCTTAGCAGGGGGACTGCCATAAGGTAGTCCATTGAGTGCAGTTTTAGTTTCTGTAATTTATGTTAAGATCCTTAGAGAGAAGAAGGGTAGAGTTTGTGGGTAATAAGAGAGTAAGCAAGGAGGGAAATGACAAGGCTTCCACTGTTAAATTGCTTTAGAGCAGGGCTGTGAGTGGCTGTCCTTGAGCTTTTGGCAGGACTCTTTCCTTGCTATTTTGTTTTTTTCTCCCCATTCTAGACAAGCCAATACTTAACCTTTCAAAGGCAGGAATTCAAACCTCCCAAGAGGGCTAGGCTGTTGTCCTGACTTTTCACAACCTGGCATGGCCCTGACCTTGGAAAAGATTGATGCAAGCTGGTTGAGGTATAATGTGGTCTGAAGGGGGGAGCAGGAGTACATAATGACTTCCAAGGTCCCATTCGAGGACAAGGCTGGCTGATGTAGCCTAGACTGTGTTACATGGTCTCAGAGGGGAAAACAAGGGCATATTTTAAGAGATTCATGTCTCAGAGTGGTTATGTGGACTTGTATACCTACAAATACTCAAGAGGCCTGTTGAGGTACACAGGAGCATGCAGGGAAGTTGAGGGGTCTTAGCATCACGGCAGAGTGGGCTGTGAGCAAGGGGAGAATGTACAGTTGTCGCTTGATCAGTGGTGGGTTGCCCACTTGGGTCAAACAATATTGCAATATTTGGGGGTCATTTTCACGTCTTGTATGGTAATCTCATTGTCATAAGTCTCTTTTCCAAAGTTTTTTTTTCTGTCATAATTATGCCACAGATAACAATTTTCCTACACTATATTTTCTCTTTCTTTAAGTCAATTTTTTAATTTGTTCTTTTTTAAATATACATGACAGTAGAATGTATTTAGATAGGCATACATGGAATCCAACTTCCATTCTTCTGGTTGTACATGATGTGGAATTACATTGGTCATGCATTTAATATATGATTTCCTACACTAGGAAATAGGAAAAGGATCCTGATATTTTCTCACACACACACACACACACACACACCCTGCCCAAGGAGTGACAGGAGGTGTTATTTAGGAGTTATATTGTGAAAAAGCCATGAGTTCAGGTCCAAATTTTTGGTCAACATATGAATTTCCTATGCAGAATTATCTCAAGAATTATACTGCAGAAGATAAATCAGTATCTGGAAAGAGAAGGAAGTAGGGTGGAGGTAAGAGTTTAATGGTATCTATTATCAAGCTGTTTCTGAATGCTTTTGTTGGGAGTTTTAAAAACAGATTTATGAGTAGATAATCATTTTAAAAATATATGTATTATGTATATTTATTTCAGAATGTTGGTGTTCAGGTATATATGTATTCAGAATACATTTGTATGGGTATACATATATATGTGCATGTGTGTATGTGATATATATTCATGTGCCAAGTAACATTTCAGTCAATGACAATGCACAACAGTGGTCCCATAAGGTTAAACTGCCTAGTTGCATTGTAGCAATTTCAATTTGTATAAGTACATTCTATGATTCTCCTCACAATGGTGAAATAAATCACCTAGTGACACATTTCTCAGAATGCATCTCCATTGTGAAGTGATACATGTGTCTATGTGTGTGTATATATGTGTGCGTGTGTATATAAATGAATAAATGTATATGAAAGAATGTCTGGACATTTTCTAGCTAGGAAATTGAACTTGACTCGAGAGTTCTTGGTTACTGTTCAAGGTGTCTTGAACCCATACGGTGAGTAGTTACTGAGTGCTTCTCTGCACCTTGCACCATGCTACTGCTGGAGGTTTAGTGGCACACAGGCACAGCTCTTGGCCTCATGGGGCTTGTAGTCTTGGTGAATATGGTGAGAGCAAGACTTTAACCACATAAGCATGCTAATAAATAATTAGAAGTTGTGACATGTGCCCTGAAAAGATATATTGTACTATTAAGACATGTGGCTGGGGATCTGACTTAGGATGGACGATTGAGGAGATATTTCACTGAGAAAATGACATTTCACTTGACATTAGAAAGATTAAAAGAGTTAGTGGGATGAAGGTATGAGCAGTAGGGATTTATTCAGGGGGAGCAGACAAATACTGTCCCCCCACTTCTCGGTACTAGGGATTGAACCCAGGGGCGCTCTACCCCTGAGCTACATCCCCAGTCCTTTTTATTTTTTGCTTGGAGACAAGGTCTTGCTAAGTTGCTGAGGCTAGCCTTGAACGTATGATCCTCCTGCCTCAGTCCTCTGAGTTGCTGGGAATACAGGTGTGTACCATCACACCAGCTGTGAGAATTGTTTTGACATATTAAGTTCAGGGACGCTTCCCTCTAACATACTGATTACTTTCACCAACATGGAAAAGCAGTATAGTGTGACAAGGGTACAGGCTCAGGTCCAGAGTGCCTGGGTTTGGATCCTGGCTCTGCCACCTGCTGTGTGTTCTTATGTAGGTCACCTCACCAATCTGTGCCTCAGTTTTCTTATCTCTTAGATCTCTCAGATTGTGAGGATTAAGCGGGTGAACATGTTTGTTGCTCAGATAGTACCTGATATATAGCCTTGTCTGATTTATTGCATATCAACTCCTGATTTCCATTGTGGCATTCATTAACTGGGAAAATAAAAGTATGATTCTTTAATGTTAAAGATTTTGCTCAGGAAGTTGAGTGATTTTCCCGAAGATCAAAGAGTTAGTCAATGGAAGGTCTGAGCCTAGAAGATAATCTTTTTAAACTCTAATTTAGTGCTCTTCTGCTAAGATCTTTGCTTTTCTCTTCATTCACTCAGAACACTAATGATGTATTTGAGTATTTGGGGCTGAAAATCGGTGTATTCTATTTATCAGATTGTTTGCACCTTTTAAATAATTTATTTGAAAGTGGTTGGGTGTGGTTCTGAGAGTTGCTAATGAGGTTGTAGGATGCCTTGCAGTTGATTTCCATGTAATGGTCACATTGGCAGTGAAGACATCTTTCCAGTATGTACCAGACACTTTACGGCTGTTGTAGTGCAGGAATGGGGCCCAAATATAAGCAAGACATGGATGATCTTGTCTTTGAGAATACACAGACCTGGTGACAGACATGGAAATCAACCATTTCTCTTTCATATAGGTGGTGCACTGCTGGGCGGGGGGGGTGGGGGGGGGGTTTCTAGTGCTGAGTGCTATTTGCTGGGCAGAGGAGGGAGCACAACCGATTTTTTGGAAAAGGATACATTCAGAGGGTGACAAAGATTTCATGTCCCACTAGGATGAACTGAAGTTAAGACGTGTTCTTTTTATGACCCTCATCCATGTAGGTGTGAGATGAGGTGGGTGGTGTGGAGCAGGAATAGGGCTGTGGCTATAGAGAGACTGTGTTTTCACGAGAGGTACTTCTATTTAGGGGAACTCAGTGTGACTCCCTTTATATCTGACTCAGTGTAATTATTATCGATATTGTTATAGAGGGTTCAAGATGCAAACTGAAAAGTTTCAGTTCATTTTGATTCATCATTTGCCATTCTTATAAAGAACCCAAATCTTCCCTGAAGCTACAAATCATTTTCCATCTGACTCTTGAGGTATAAAAAAAATAGGATCTTCTATGGTAATGCTTCCTATTTTTCAAAGCACTGTTTTCTACCTTGTCATATTTGATCCTTGTGCTATAGACGAGGAAGCCGAGGCTCAGTAAGATCAAGTGGGACCTAAGGCAGGAACCTCCTTGAGCAATTGGATCCAGATTCTCCAGGTGGAGGATTTTGTTGATTAGAATACAGGTAAGGAATCTCTTCAATTGGTTTTTACAAGTTAAAATGGCCACCATTATGTGCCAGATGGCCTATCTTGTTGTTAGTGCAACAACAGACCTCTCCCCTTTACAGATTTGGAGGTGGAATTTCTACAGTGCCAGGTGGCTAGGTGTTCAGGGATTATGGCTGAGACTAGGCACAGTAGTAGATAGGAACCCAAAACTGGATGAATTGTAACTTGTTGGCATTAGGGTTCTTCTGTTAAGCTGAGAAAACGTGGGGGCATTATGTAGAGAACAGTGAGTCCTTTTGTAGGAACTGGTGAGTGCAGTGAAATCAATACCACAGAGATCATATAAACAGAGAAATACTTTTGCCCAGTGTGGTCCAGTTCTTATTCTACTCACACTGCTCTGCTTTTAAAATAACAACAAAAAACCTCACCACGGACCTTTCATGTAGCTTCATGTCCTAAATTTGGTTAATTCCTTAAGTGAGTTTAAACTTTCCCCATATTTATGTATCTCCTCTCCCACATGCACTGAATATTCTTCCTATATTTCAAAGTAGTAGTTCTGATTTAGTTGGAAGGAGGGTGAAAATTTCAGGCTGTATATCTTGTAATTTTTTGTTTGTGTTAAATGTGCCAGTTGTGGTACGTTTGGGGTTGTCATCTCCAGGGCAATCCTGCAATCATTTGCTTTTTATTTTTTTTCCAGAACATCAACTTTTATCTAATCTTTCATTATAGCCAATCTAAAGCAGCCCCCAAGTGTCTTTCCAAACATCACCCTGTTTTGCTTCATCGCAGCCCTTATCAACAGCTGGTGTTTCTCATTTGCACATTCATCTGCTTCTTTTTTGCCCATCCTGCCCCACATGTAAACTGCATGAGCTGGGACCATGTCTTTCTTGAGCAATGCTGCGCCCCAGTGCCTCAGAGGCTTGCCCACACAGGTACTCACTGTTTGTTTGTTAAATTAATAAACTTCTCTGGACATAATTTTCTGATTTTTATCTTTAGATTGAAAAGTCGAGAGCAGCATGTTTTGCCCACTGCAGCTGGTCCTGATCCCAACGTTACTGGGTAAGTAGAAGCCAAGGAACCACGGGAGGTATTTGATTTCTCATAACTCTTGTGCATTTTTAAAAACCTTTTTGTTTTGTTTTTGGTAGTTTTTAATTCCCTTTGATTTTTGGAAAATGAAAACCCTAGCCTGGAACTTCATGGTTTAACTGAAACAGCTGTTTTGGAAGCAGGTAGTGGGCTCTTTCTTGGGAAGCTGAAACTTCCTGTTTCTATTAGTCACAGAATGTCTTGGGTTTATCCTGGATGTTCTAGGACCTTCTTGTGTGTACAAAAAAAGTTTTTCTATGGCCTTCCTGCACTTTAAATTGTCTTCAAAACCACAGCTAGTCTCCGATCCAGAATTGAAATGACCAGAGACGCCAGAATCCTTTTCATTGTTTTCACTCGTAGCCATGCCAGCGCCAGCCTTCTTGCAGTTCCTCAAATGCCTGAGCTCTTTCCCAATATGGTGGTTTCCTTTGCCTGGAAGCTTCCTTCCTCTCTTTGGCACCTCACACTAGTGAGCCTGCTCCCTTTCCCATTAAGATCCATTTTCTTCTGTGAAGCCTGCTAATGGTCTCAGGCCATGTCTATACCTTAGGCAGGTGCTCAGGGCTGCTTCCTGTTGTTCATCTCCACTGCTAATTTTTTAAAGTTCCCTTTTACCCCATGCCTTTCTTCTTATTCCATGGCTATAACTCTATAGGAAGAAATACATGAATTAGGTGCTTTGCTCTCATTGCTTTTTTGTTTTTCTATTATTACTTTTTGAATTGTGGCCAGTGAACTAAACACTGACTTAGCAAAGAACACAATAGGTTGCCTTTGCTCCAGTTCTAGGCAACACAGAGTGTGCACAAATAGGTATGTGCCCATGTGTACACACACCCCCACACACAAATGATATGTGTTAGAGAATTTTTTTCACAGAAACAGTGTTATAAGTATCTCAGAGCGTTCTTAGATATTTCCACAGAGATGTATGAAACAACCTGCAGACTTTTGCTCTTCTTCCCAGTAAATTTCCAAGCCAACCCCTGCATGTAGTGGTTTGAAGGCATCATGGGGTTTGTACTTTTGTGTGGAGAGATTTCCCTCCCTAAGAATATCTCCTTCTCTTCAGCTACTCCTCTACTAAGATCACCCCTCAGACCTCCAGACAGTAGTTTCCCTTTGCTTTGGTTGCTTCAGTTGCTTTCTAGTTGTCCTTCACTTAATTCTACATAATATTGAATTAAACTAAATTCACTTCTTGTACCTTTAACCACAAGTACAATTGCTCAACTGTTCCTCACAGGAAAATTCCAAATGGTTGTTGGAGCTAATTTTGATTTCTTTCAAAATAACTCTTTCCAAAGGGTTTAGAGTTCATGTTTTCTTTTCTGTCCTCCCTACTGTGTGAGCCTGCTGTTGGGCAGGAAGTTAGCTGTCTTCTCTCAGGGAAACAGCTTGGATGAAAAGACTGGCACATTTTCTGTTCATTCCCATATGCGTTCTCTTGGCTCTTCTTTGATATAAACTGGGCAGCATCTAAATTTGTCTCTCTTGATTTTGTTGTCTCTATGCATGGAGCATGTCCTATGAAAACAGAAATATCCATAAAATGGTTTTCTCTTTTAGTGACCTCTTGGAATTCCTTGAGTAACATCAGATGATTGTATGTGTGGGTGGGTGGGTGTAAGTCCAAGTGTGCAAATGCCTCAAAGAGGAAAAGCTAGGGATGATGGCAAAGCTGGAGGGGGTGAGGTGGGGAAAAGGCAAACACAAAGGAATTCAAGGGGAAAGCTGTGCTCCACATTGGCTTACTTACAAGGGCCTGCTCACCAGTCAGAATTAGCCGACAAATGCAGAGGTAAACTTTTGTGAAGGAGCTAAAGAAAGGGAAAAGAGGAAGAAAACAAACAAAATACTGTGAGTTGGCCATTCAGATAGGGAACTAGTAGGAAATTTAAGAACAAGAAATATCCATTTCCTGTTTATGGTAAGTGAATTGGGTGACTAGTGATCCAAAAGGAGGGACTTTAGGGTTTCCTTTGTTTCTTTAAAAAAATTGGGAGATAGAATTCTAGAAAAGGGCAAGAGCCTAGTTAGGGGAAAGGAGCCAGATAGCATTTAATGCAGTACAAAGTTTGCGGAACCCTTCTGACTTAAGCCATGCAGATAACTAGAGGATACCTCAATTACCTTTAGAGATTCCATGCTGGTTCAAGTGAGAGGCCTCTGAGCACTTGGTCCCTGTTGAGTCATCGAGGGAAGGGTGGTGGATAGTACTTGGTGACTGATGCTGATTTTTGTTACTAAAGGTATTTGTCTAAATGATTCATCCTCTTGCCTTTGATTCTATAGCTTGTTCCTTGGGCCTGAATGACTTTAGTGCTTCCCCCGCTGAACTCACAGTCCATGTGGGTGATTCAGCTCTGATGGGATGTGTTTTCCAGAACCTAGAAGGGAAACACGTGACCAAAGTAGACTGGATGCTGTCACCTGGAAAGCATGCTGAGGTAATGAAGAGCGCACCTCACTATGTCCTAGAAGCCCCACATTTGTGGTTGTCAGGGTGGTACTGCAGGAGGGAGAATCACTCATCAAGTACCATGAGATGGTGTTGTTGCAAGAGCTTGGGCTTTGGAGGTGTCCTAACTGGGACCCCTCCTAGCTTGGCCACTTGGCTGTGCAATCAGTGAGGCAGATTACCCAGCCCTGCTAAGCTTCAACTTCCTGATCTGTGTTCAGGAAGGTAGTTATGATAATGGCAATGCTTAACTTTCACGTAGTTGAGGGGCTAATTGGAGACATGCATGTGAAGTTCTTTAAGTTTCCTTTTTCTGTGCCTTTGTAGAGCGGTAAAGGTGGGTGACATGGATAATTCCTGTGGCTTAGACAAAAGACCTCTGAGCTAGGCATGAGGATGTTGTCACTTTTATCTTTGGGTATGTGTGTGGGTGGGGGGTGGGGGCAGACTCTTTCAGCATTCTACTGCCGCTTGAAGTACTAGGATTAGCAACTGCACCTGGCTGGGTGAGGGTCTCTCATGGAGCTCTTTGTATTAGGAAACAGTATTAAGCTTCATCAGAGATTCTGTGGAGCTACTTGGATGTCAGGATCATTTGTGAAATACGTCCCAGGTAGTTTGCTATTAGTAATAAAGTCCCAATGTTTGCAAATGAAATAGTTTTTGCAACTCAGAGCACATTCTTTTTTACCCCTGCAATGCTACTCTCACTCAAATTTTTATTACTATTTATTATCATGAGAGGGCTATAGCTATGGTGTAAATAGAAATAAGGATCTTCCAGGGTTCCCCCTCTTAGCTTGTAACCATTTCCTACTCATAACTCCTCCTTTTGTGTTAGAGGAGGGCAGAAATGAGAGGAAAGGCAGCCAGCATTCTGGGAACCCCAGCCCACAACACCAGAGGGATTACATCATACAGTTGAATGCTATGTAATCTGGGGGCCTTCAGAAAACAGGGTGAAATGAGAAGTGTTTTTCAAAAGTTGTGAGTTTGAGCGGCTTGGGACGCTGAGGCACAAGGATTGCGAGTTCAAAGCCAGCCTCAGCAACAGTAAAGCCCTAAGCAACTCAGTGAGACCCTGTCTCTAGATAAAATACAAAATCGGACCGGGGATGTGGCTCAGTGGTTGAGTGCCCCTTAGTTTAATCCCTGGTAGCACCCTTCACTGCCAAAAAGAGTTGTGAGTTTGAATCTACAGAGTGATCTTCAGATGGGGTGTAGCATTGATTCCTTTGGCTGTAAGAAATAAAAATGTGTGCACTGTATTTCTCCCTTTGTCTTTGTGGAAAATGAGCCACAGAGCTTGTGTAAGCTAGGATGTTGCCTGGCATATTATTACCATCGATTAGCTACAAAGAACACTTTATTCATGTATGATGATGATAACTATGCCACCTCCACATAACGGGGTCTTTTGACTACAGACTCCTAGGTCTGGTTCCTCTTTGGATTTTCTCTAACACTGTCTGTGTTGCCCTCCAGGATGAATATGTGCTATACTATTATGGCAACCTCAGTGTGCCTGTGGGGCGCTTCCGGAACCGTGTGTTTTTGGCGGGAGACCTCCTACAAAAAGATGGTTCTCTGCTGCTCCAAGATGTGCAAGAGGCTGACCAGGGAACCTACACCTGTGAAATCCGCCTTGAAAGCGAGAGCAAGGTGTTAAAAAGCAAAGTGGTGCTACATGTGTTACCAGAGGAGCCCAAAGGTATGGGGATGCTTAGACGGGGCTGAGGGCAAGGGGCAAGGGTACTGATTTCATGGAGCAAATGCCAGCCTTTGGCTAAGTAGTTACCACCAAGTGAGTCTTGAATAAATGATAATTATTTTATTCAATAAAAATCATGATAATTATACTTTAAACATATTCTTCCTCACAAAAGTCCCGTGAAATGTATATTATTTTTTCCATTTTTCATGTGGTAACTGAGGCATAGAGAGGTTAAGTGACTTGCCTAAGGACACATTTATTAAATGACATAAGCTGTACTTAAGCCCTGGTGCCTCTGACAACAAAGTCCATGTTCCTTTCACTTTTCCTTGACACTTCCTATCTATCAGTTAGCCACTTCGATGCCAATCCATATTTTATAGCTACCTATGTTAGGTGTCCTGAAGGTTATAAAAGAAGTGAACAGATTTCTCTAAATTTTTTACATCTCATTTTCCCATTCATAGATGGAGGAAGTGGCTTCAGGAGATCAGTGTTTTGGTGTTTTTTTAAACTGTTCCTTTGTAGATGCCTTAAGCTCCAAGGAACTGATAGCACAGAGGGTGCTATATGAGGGGCATGGGTTGGTAGAAAACCTACTCAGGTAGGACCCCAGCTTCCACCTCCATTGCAACCAAAGTCCTTTTCCTTTTCCTGTTTTGTTTATTGAGCTGCCAGGTCAGATTTTGTTTAAAGGAAGAATTCTGCATCTTTAAAGTAAGATTGTGATCTGTGGTGGCCCAAGTCATGGAAAGACAGGCATTCAGAAAGTTCCTTCTTCTCTCTGACTAGGTATTAGCTGGAAGGAATGCAGTTGAGACTGCAATCAAAGAAGGCATTATGCTTCCAGAACAGTCTCAAGGACAAGTATTTTAAGCAGCAGCAGTAGCTGCTGGATTGGTCTCTAAAGCAGAGGTAGAGAGGGTCAACCAGTAGGGTGGAAGCTGAAGCTTCATTTCTTCTCCAGAAGAGCATGAAGGCACCAAAGTAGTGGTAAATGACAAGGATTCCTTCTTATTTAGTGAGAGCAACATTATTGGGAAAAAGGTAGACTAGAATACAGCACTACTGAACAGCATCATGCGTGGTTACCCATTCCACTAACATTCTGAAATCTTTCATCATGTAAATATTTTTTACTCTTTTATAATAAACTAATGATATCCAAACTAATAAGATTCAATGTCTCTAAAATTTAATTTATTGTATTGGTCTCTAAACAAAAATATGTAAATTTAAAATGTTTGAAAGTCATAGGACAAGATGCATTCATTATCAAGTGTGGTGTAGAAGGAATAGTCTGTGGCCTCAGGGAAGCTTGCTATCTAGGTAAGGAGGGAGATCTGGGTTTCCCTCTGCTGCTGGCTTAGGTCCGTAGCTACTCAGCTCCACCAATGAGCTCCTCTGGAGCACCCTGCCTTCCTTCCTCTTTTAGAACACCCACAACACCTGTTCATTTGTATCTTCCCTGCTTCTCTGTTTCTATTCATCTGTGACCAGCTCTGGGCATAGCACCTGGTACAGAGAAAGCAATCAATAAACATCTGTGTAAAGATGAAATTCTTTAAACATCCCTCTGAGTCTGATTTCTAAAAAGAGTCATAGAAGGTAGTCTCTGGCACCTCCTTCATGTTTCCTACTTTTTCTCATTGAAATTTTTCTCTTAATTCCAAAGCTATGGTTCTTCAAGAAAAGGAGGAAGGTCAGATGCTAGTATTCCTCAAAGTCTTTCTCTTAAAAAAAATTTTTTTTTTTTTTGTGGTACTGGTGATTGAAACCAGAGCCTTGCCCTTGCTAGGCAAGTGCTCTACCACTGACCCTCATCCCCAGCATTTTTAAAATTAAAAAAAATTTTTTTTAGTTGTAGATGGATACAATATTTTTATTTTTATTTATTTATTTTTATGTGATGCTGAGGATTGAACTCAGGGCCTCACAGGTGACAGGCAAACTCTCTACCACTGAGCTACAACCCCAGCCCCACTTTTTAAATTTTGAGACAGGGTCTCGTTAAGTTGCCCAGGTTGATGGCAAACTCATAATCCTCCTGACTCAGCCTCTAAGTCTATGGGATTACAGGCATGTGCCACCCTACCAGGCCCCAAGGATATCTTTATGCTTCCTTTTTCTGTCTTCATTCTTTAGTGCTATTATTTAATGCCTAAACACTTGTCTAAAGCATAGCCTTCAAAATGGGTGCCTCATCCTGCTTAGAGATACATTGGGAGCTTAAAAAGGAGCCAATCTCAAGAGTTGAAGAAGCCATGAAAACATGCTAGAACCACATTAGTCAGATATTTCCCCAGTACTTGGTAAAGCAGCTTGAATTTATCTTTCCCTTCCAGTTAGAATGGAACCATGTACAACCCCTCACAATTTTTCCCTGTGTTCCAGTAGGAACTTGCTTTATGGAGGTTGTCTTTTTCCATGTGGAAACTCCTTTTTATAGTCATCTATAATTTTCTCTGGAAAAGTAATCCTTCAGTTTATAATTTTTATTAATGATTCTATTACTTTTTCAGTTATTTTAAATACTGATAGGTTAAAAGTAATAAAAAATTAATAATATTAATTTCCTGTAATTTTCTAGAATCAGCCACCCTTCTACTTGTGTGAGATGGTACAGTCTGTAAGTGAAAGAACATAGAGTTTGTTTTCACTTATTGGGCCTGGATTTGAGTGCTGGTTCTATCCTTTACTGGCCGTGTGGCTTTGGGCTCTTTCACTTTGCTCTTCTGCAAAATGGGAAGTGATATAGACGTACCCCAAAATACTGTATGACTAACTGATAGACTAGGTATAAAGTGTCTAGCATGTGCCTGGTGCATTAAAAAGACTTAGAATGTTCAGTTAATATTATTTAAAAAGAGAGTTCAGCTCTTAATGTGCTGATGAAATCAGAGGGAGGCGCCTTCCCTACTGGTATTTTTGGGAATCAATTTTCATTGCTTTCAAAATAATTCCCTCTATTGAATTTAGAATTCATAATATTTTCTTTTGCTTTCCTCCCATTGTGCACATCTCCTGCTGGGCAGGATGATCATGTTCTCCCAAGGAAAGGGTTTAGATGAAAAGTGGGCTATGCACTCATGGACTTTTCTCAATGGAACTCTCTCTAGATAAGACCTAAGCTTGTGTCTCCCTATATTCCCTTAATCAATTCTTTTTTTTAAAAAAAATTTTTAATTTGTTTTAATTAGTTATTCATGACAGTAAAATGCATTTATGCGCTTTGATATATCATACATAGATGGGATATAATTTCTCATTTTTCTGAGTGTACAAGTTGTAGAATTATATTGGTCATGAAATCACATATATACTTAAAGTAATAATGTCTTTCATTGTCTATCTTTTCTATCCCCAGATCCTCTCCCCTCCCCTCCCTTCTCTTTCTTCTACCTAATCTAAAGTAATGCTAATCTTCTCTAGTGACCCCCACCTTATTGTGAATTAGCATCCACGTATTAGAGAAAACATTGAGCCTTTGGTTTTGGAGGATTGGCTTATTTAACTTAGTATGGTATTCTCCAACTCCATCCATTTACTGACAAATGCCATAAATTTCTCTCTTCTTTAAAGCTGAGTAATATTCCATTGAGTATATATACCACATTTTCTTTATCCAATCATCCTTTAATCAATTCGTAATCAACTTTGTGATTGATTTGTGTAGGGCATTTGGAAAAATCAAAAACATGTGTCAATTGTTTTCTTTTCAGGGACCTCTTGAAATGACTCACAATGAACATATGGTGGGGTCAGCTGCTCATAAAAATAGGCAGCAAAAAGAGCCCAGGAGTAGGAAAGTGAGAAGCAGTAGAGAGGGGTCAAGTGGAGAAGGTAGGGGTAGGGGAGGGCAGGGTTGGAATAGAATGAAGAGTCAAGGGAAAACTGTCTACTGTCTTGTCCTACTTTGTAAAAGTTCGGTGACCTATACTGAAACCAGAACTGGTCCTAAGCAAGTCCTAAGACAATTTGTAAAAGAATAAAAGAATTTGAATAAAGTTACCCTTGATTCATTTTTTTAAGCTCAGAGAACCAGTGGGTTAAACATAAGAATTAAGGTTTTATAACTTTCCACTTCCTGTTTATGCTAAGGAGATGTGGGTATCTTAAGTTGATGAACAGAAAGTGGGACTTCAAGATTTTCTGTAAATCCTTTAGTACAGACTTGATGTGAAGTTAGAATTCATGGGAGGAATTCTGAAAAGAAGGAAAGAGAAAGGAATTAAAGGGCACCAGAAAGAATTTATTGCAGTATGAAGACAGCAGAAACCTCAGACCTGCCATTTATAGGCAGTTAGAGGGTATTTCTTATTCTTGGGGATGCCATGTTGGTTGGAGTGAAGGGCCTCTGTTACTTTGACCTCATGGAATCATCTGGATTATCTATGGAGGGAATATGTACAGTGTTTGGCGGTGACAGTGATTTTTGCTGTTGAGAGTCTTTGGCTAACATTCTCTAGAAATTCTTTTACTTCTACAGATTATATTTTGAGCCTAACTTGATTTACTGTTTTATCCCCAGAAGTCACGGTCCATGTGGGTGATTCAGCTCTGATGAGATGTATTTTCCACAGCACAGAAAAGAAACGCCTGACCCAGGTAGACTGGATGTTCTCTTCCGGAGAGCATACCAAGGTAGGAGGAGGAAGCATCACCATGTAGTAGAAGCCTGTGGCTGGTGGCAGGACAGAGCTGGGAGAGGGACAGTCAGTTGTCAGATGCATGAGGTGGGTGGCATTACAAGAGCTTGGGCTTTAGAGCTTGTTGAACATGGGCTCCTAATTCAGCTGCTTGGCTGGGCAGCTTTGGCTTCCGAGTGGGAAACGTGACACTAATGGAGAAGAAGATAATGAGGATGATGTTTAACTTTTAAGGTTGTCAAGACACTGGCGTGAGTACATAGATGTAAAGCATTCTGCACATGACTTAGCCAAGGCATCTTGGTTTCCTTCTTCTCTTTGTAGAGTTCATGAGAGAATGAAAGGGATGATTTCTCTTGCCTAGCCAGGAAAGCTATGGAATAAATATAAGAATTTGATTACTTTCTTATTCTTATTGGGATTGTTTTGTGAGTTTTGGTTTGTGCTCCATTGTTCCCTTTATGTGATAGAGGGAATTTTCCTTTTTTTTTTTTTTCAAGTGTTGGGATTTGGTGGATCCTGGGGGCTGGGTGAGGGTCATTTCATGGGAACTCTGTAAAGCCATAAACAGCAAGTTAGTTCACTAGACTAGTAGATCTTCACCATGATATGTGGTGATATATTTATGGATGACGCTGTGTGTGAGGGGCATTCTGGGTAACTTATTATTAATAAAAGTTAAGGTACAAGGTTTATAAAGGCTTTCACTTTTATAAATTAAAACATATGGTAGTCATCCCTCTAGCAAGATAATTTGCACTCCCTTGATTCCTATATGCTGATTGAGTGGGTCAGAAAGGATGGCATTATGGAGTAGGGGGAATTACATGTCATGCATTTTTTTCTTTTTTTGTACCAGGGATTGAACCCCCAGGGGTGTTTAACCACTGAGCCACATCCCTAGCCCTTGTTAATATTTTATTTAAAGATAGGGCCTCTTGCTGAGTTGCTAAGCCTGGCTTTGAACTTGAGATCCTCCTTTCTCTGCCTCCTGAGCTGCGGGGATTACAAGTGTGTGTCATTGCACTGGGCTGGCTTTATTATGCATTTAAATGTTGTCCATCAAATGATTCACCGCAGAAGGAGATGGGAGGTTTAAGGGCCAGATCTCTCCATATGTGTTTGTGTCTGTATGCCCAATACCTTTTCTTAAAAGCTTAAAGAAATTTACATACCTTTATAAAAAAAAATTCGAACACTCCTTCACTTAAATATTTTTTAAGCATTTACTGTGTGATAAACACTCAAAGCCCCTGTCCTGATGCAGGACTTGCAATCAAGATAATGGGGAGATAATAAAATGGCAAAGAAAAATATATAATACATTGAGTAATAGTTAGAGCTATAGAGAACCATTAAGCCGAGTTTTGTGGTTATTTTATGTGGGTGACACTTGAGCAGTAGTCTGAAGGCAGTGGGGGTGGGTGAACCACGAGTATGTCTGGAGGAAGCGTCTCAGTCATAGGGAGTGGCAGTGAAAGGCTCTAAAACCAGGACTCAAGGAGCAGCAAGGAGCTGAAGGAGGAAGAGAAAGTAGAAGATGAAACCCAAGAGGAAAATGGGACTGTCAGTTTGTGAAGGGCCTTTTACTTTAAGTAGAAATGAAAGGCCGTGGGAAGGTTTTGAGCAGAGAAGTGAAAGACGTAACTTAAGTTTTTAAAGGCTCATCTGCTGAGAATAGATTGTAGTGAAGAATACGCAGAGAGGCCAGTAAGAAAGTCCTGTGGGAACCTGCGTAAGAGATGCGAAGGAGGCTTGGACAACAGGAGGTGAAAAGTGGCTGGGGTCAGAATGTATCCTGAAGTTAGAGGTGATCAGAGTTGCTGAGAAGTTAGATGTAAATTCTCCAAGAAAGAGAAGAAATTAAGGATGACCTTGAGATTTTTAGCCTGAGCCTCTGGAAGAAGCCATGGCCATGGCTGTTTACCAGTGTGATGGACTGAAGGAACTGGCTTAGGGGAACAATTAGGAGTTCAGTTTTAAATGTGTTTCAGGTACCTATTGGAAATCCAACTGGAAATGCCAAAAAGTGAACATGTGGCTGGGTGTGTTGGTGCAGGCCTGTGATCCCAGCAGGGTTCAGGAGGCTGAGGCAACAGGATTTCAAGTTCTAAAGCCAGCCTCAGCAACTTAGCAAGGCTCTAAGCAACTTAGCAAGACTCTAAGCAACTTAGCAAGACCCTGTCTCAAAATGAAATATAAAATGGCTTGGGGATGTGGCTCAAGGATTAAGTTCCCCTGGATTTAATCCCTGGTACTAAGAAAAAAAAAAAAGGAACATGTGCTCTTACTTTTTTTTTTTTAACTGGAGAAGTGCAAAAAACAAAAGCCCTCTATTCCCACTTTAAAAAAAAATCCTTCTCTTCTGAGGAAACAGCATGCATGATTTCATAATGCTCTTCATAAGCACATAGATACGTGTGTGCACTTGAATTGCTGTTATCTAGCACATATACACACATGTGTGCACACAGCTTTGTTGCATAACACTAACATGCACCTGTGTGTGCCCAACCTTGAGTTACCTAACACTTTCTGAGGCCTGAGATCGTCCTCCCTCCCTGCTTCCCCACATCCCCTTGCTGCCAGTCCTCCAAAGCTCATGCTTTTGCCTTTCCCTTCCAGGAAATCGTCTTACACTATGACCTCAAATTCCAGTTTCCTGAGAGATACTTCCCTTACCAGGGTCGCTACCAGAACCGTGTAAACCTGGTGGGAGACATTTCCCACAACGATGGTTCCATCATGCTCCAAAGAGTGAAAGAGTCTGATGGAGGAATCTACAACTGCAGTATCCACCTGGGGAACCTGCTCTTCAGGAAAACTCTTGTGCTGCATGTGACTACGGAAAAGTCTCAAAGTACCTAACATTTGATTGGAGAGGGCTGAGGGACCTTAGCTGGTAGCAGGGCCAGGACTAGAGTGAGTAGAAAGGTTCCTAGGCTGAAAAAGGGAAGGGGCTTGCTCCTAGGTACTCATTGTGGGCCGGCCCCGCCCTGAGAGTGCTGCCTCCTTCACCATGACTCCTTAAGGGCCTGGCTTCCCTTGCCCTGGTTTTGGCACTGCTGCGGGGCTGAGGAAAAGGGAGCTAATGTATAGACCACCAACCCTATGCCAGTGTAGACTACTACTACAAAGATTCAAGAGCTCAGAGACAGCTTGGAATTGAGGTCCAAACCCATTTTTATTTGGCTTAAAGGGAGTCACTGCGTGCTCTGTTATGGAAGGGAAAATGATCCTGAGCTGGTGAGAGATAGCAAGGATCAAAGAGAAAACAGGAAGGTACCAAGCCCAAAATGGAGGGGTTTTCTGGCATACAATGTGCATCCAGGCCAGTGGTGTGTAGGAAAAGAAAGAGTCAATTGTGTTGACTGAGAGAGGTTGATAGTGAGGGGTTAACGTTAAACCATAACTCGTTTAGCAGTCAGGATGTGGCCTGTGGACTTTGCTGGGGCCTTCAGGAGCTGACTGTGGTTGACTGGGGGTGGAGAGGTGGGGGTAGGATGGTACATTCCAGAACCTCAGGCTGGGGGCTTAAGTCTGTGGATTCTTATTAATAGCAAAGGTCCCAGCTGGAGAGGGAAATAAGACAGATGCATCTCTTAAAGAACTACCATCTCTATATGTGCTTCACTCTCAGAATTCTTACCACCTCTTCACAGAGAAAATCAAGCCATGGTGGGGGCTCATTCACTTCCAAGTCTTTCTACACATGAGTATCTGTTCCTGATCTTATCTCTACCCACTGTCCTGAGGGAGAAGAAGCTCCCTTCTGCCCTGGGCTTATCCTGTTCTGTGCTTCTGTTATCCTCTCCCTCCCAGGAACCTCACACCAGGGATCTTTGGGCTCTTGCTGTCTGTTGGTTTCAGCAGATAAATATGCTTAATTCTTCATCTTACCTGAGTCCTTACCTATTCTAGCTCTCATCCTGTATCTTTATTTTTCTTAAAGCAGCTTTATTGATATGTATTTCATATACTGTACAATTCACCCAAAGTATAAAACCCAGTGGTTTCTAATACATTCTGATTTGTGCAACCATCACAATAATCAATGGCAGTTCTTTCTGAACATAGCCAACTAGCTTATAAGGGGCTGCACTGGGCATCTTCCTGGCTCATCTCCCATTAACTCCTCGCTGCACCACATTCTGGCTTCAGCTATCTTTACTCTAGCCTTCCTCAGCCTTCTTTCCCATGTAGTGTTGGATGCTCTATTCTGTATACATTCTATGTTGGATGTAATTAATCCACTTATATATGTGTCCCTTGGTGTTGTGGGAAGTTGGTTCCAGGACTCCCCACAGATAACCAAAATCTGTGGATGCCCAGTTCCTTTTATAAAATATTGTAGTATTTGCATATAACCTATGTACCTACTCCTGTGTACTTCATCTTCAGCTTACTTATGACACCTAATTCTATGTAAATAGTTGTTATATTGTATTATTTAGGGAATAATGACTAAAAAAGTCTGTACATGTCAGTACACATGCAGTTTTCCCCCCAGTCATGTATAGTTGATTGAATCCATGGGTGAGGACCCCAGGGGTATGGAGGGTTGGTGTGTGTGTGTGTGTGTGTGTGTGTGTGTGTGTGTGTGTGTGTATTTCAGCTCCACCAAAAATTTCCACAGATCCTTCAAATACTACATGTCCACACCTACCCTTGTGTACCTCTTCCAAGCCCATCTCCCCAACCTGTTAATTTCATCATTATCTACACATTTGTGTAAACATATGACCCTTCTGAGTTTGGCTTATTTTGCCTTACATAATGCTCTCAAGTTTCATCCATTTCTGAAAATAGCATAATTTCATTCTTTATTATGACTGAATAAAACTCCATTGCCACTGCCATCTTTTTAAGTCACAAATCAGAAATTCTGTTCTATGGCTTATAATCTTGCAGTAGTTCCTCCGTTGATTACAGAAAAAAGAAGAAGAAGAGGAAGAAAAGAAGAAGAAGAAGAGGAGGAGGAGGAAGAGGAAGAAGAAGAAGAAGAAGAAGAAGGAGGAGGAGGAGGAGGAGGAGGAGGAGGAGGAGGAGGAGAAAAGAAGGAGGAGGAGGAGGAGGAGGAGGAGGAAGAAGAAGAAGAAGACGGCAAACTCTTATTTGAGCTGATTGAGTCTTTCCTGACCTGGACCCTGTTTACCCTCCAGCCCCATGCTCCCACACCCCTCAAATCCAGTCTATGTACTACACTTGCTGAGCATTTCCCAGTTCCTAAATGCCCCCAGACCTTGTGCACAGCATCCCCTCTGCCATTCCCTATAGTGTCTTCCCAACCAGGTGGTAGATGTTTCCTTTCCTTTAAGACTCAGATGAAACTTTTAAACAGTGCTGGCAAATTCTCACCTTCTGCCCTGCATAGAGTTGGGCACTCTTTTCTCTGTGCCCCTCTGAACCCTATACAGATATCTGTCCTAGTACTTGTAGCAGTCTATGGTTTTCTTTTTCCATGATGGTCTGGCTTCTTGGAGGCAGGAACCATTTTTCATTTGTCTTTGTAGGCATCTTTTGTACCTAGTGATGTCTGGCACCAAGAAAGTGTGTGATGTATGTATTTAGAGTGGATAGAGATGAGTGAATGGTATCATACAGGCAGAAGTGCCTCTGGAGGCCCTATTTGGCATTATGATTATATAGCTGAATGTTCTAGCATTTTTTTAAAAAAATAATCACTTGCTCATAGAAAAGACAGGAGCCTCTAAAGCTTCTTATTTCTAGGTCATTTTGTAACCCAAAATTTAAAATAGAACTGTTGATGTGAAAAGGAAATTGAAAGTAGTGAAGTATAAGCCTCTTCTCCCACCCACCTTAATCTGCATATCAAGGGGCAAGCAAGTGGGTAGGACTTTACTTCTCAATCTAATGGGGACAGTGTCCCTGTGTCCTGATGTGAGGTGGAGTCTGGCCTTCTCCCTCTGCTTCCTGACCTAGCTGCTGCTACTTGGCACAGAACTGAAGGGGTTCTCAGCTCTTTTCTGGAGTACTGAGACCTCTCATTGCTTTTCCCCTTTCCCAAGCCCTGATTCCAGAAATCCCTAGACCTGAGCTCCTGGGCGGGAATCAGCTGGTGATCATTGTGGGGATTGTCTGTGCCACTCTCCTGCTGTTCCCTGTTTTGATATTGATTGTGAAGAGGACCCACTGGAATAAGAGGTACAGGGCTTTTCCTCTTGGGTTGGGAGGCTGGGGATGCAGGACTGCCTCTAACTCAACATGGAAATGAAGTGATAGGACCCAACCTGTGCCATTCTCAAAGGAGTAGGTATTTTCACAGAATCAAATTATTATCACATTAGATTTCATCATAGATGGCTCTATTCCTTTGCTCACCTGAAAAGATTTGGACATCCTACATCGTCCTCACTGGTGTTATACAGAGGTTACAAACTTCCTTACAAATGGAGGTCTAAGTGGAGCATAATTTCAAACATAAATCTTGGCTGGGGTTATGGCTCAGTGGTACAGCACTTGCCTACCATGCCGGGTTCCATCCTTAGCACTACAAAAAAAAAAAAAAAATGCACATAAATCTGTGCAAGAACTGTATCATTCACTACTTGAGAAGAAGGATTCTTATATTATCCCCACTATACACTTCATATTGAAGTTTAGATCTTGAGCTTTGCCAATGGTATATTATTTAAAGAACTATATTCTAATTCTGAGAGGCTGTTTTTGAATGGATGACCCTAGGTTCTAAATAAATTATTGTCAAATGTGTTTTTAAAGGCCTGAAATTTTGTTTTTAAAGACCCTCAGAAATTCTCCCAGGGTCACAGAAATACCCACATGCTCTAATGTGGATGCTAGAGTTTCATTGACTGTAGGCAGGTTCGTGTCCCTCAGTTTACCCAATTGGAATATGTTGGTAGGGCAAGTTTATTCTCTTGTTGAAATCATATCAGTGAGAAAGGACCCTGCAAAGACCAAGTAATGCTGACTTTTTAAAAAGTTTAATACTGGAATCAAACCAAGAACCTGGCACATGCTAGGCAAGTGTGCTACCACCAGACCCATAATGCTGACTTTTGAGTGACCTTTCCCAGTAGAATTTGGATTCTACAGAAATTACATGTGCCTGCTAAGTTTGCAATCCCCAGGTCTCTCTGGTTTGGCTTGGAACTTGGTTGACCTCTCTGAAGGTCTTTCCTCTGGGCAGCTGGGAACATAGAACCAAGAGCTACACATGTGGTTTTCACTATCAGCTTAATTCACCCTCATCAGTTTCCCTCAAGATGAAGGGCAGCATTTCTCTGTCTGGTAGTTTATTTTAATGAAATATTAAAACTGATCTGCTGAGATTTGTGCATAAATATGAGTGCTACAGCTGGGTGCAGTGGCACATATGTGTAATTCCAGTGGCTCTGGAGGCTGAGGTAGGAGGATCACAAGTTCAAGGTGCCTCAGCAAATTAGTGAGGCCCTAAGCAACATAGACTCTGTCTCAAAATAAAAAATGAAAAAGAAAAAGGCTGGGGATGTGCCTCAGAGGTTAAGCACCCCTGGATTTAATCCCCAGTACCAGAAAAAAAAAGTGTCTAGTTAACCAGTGTCTTTCCAAACTTAGGCTATAGTGGCATCTGTTTAAAGGACAGAAAACATCTAAGAGTTTAGGCCCAAGACAAATATTTATAGACTGATATTTTTAGTTTTCATTGTCTGGGCTGCAGATATTATTTCTTTTAACAATCCAGAAATTTCAAAAGGGCTGGGAATGTGGCTCAGTGGTTAAATGTACCCCCCCCCCCCCCCCAAAAAAAAAAAAGCACTGTAACATTGTTTATAAATGAAAGGTTGGGATCATCATTACTGTCTATCAGAAAGGCAAGGCAATGATTCAGTGAATGGTAACAGTGGTAGGTAGGGTCTTTAAGATAAAGGAAATACATAAATATAGACATTTCCAACTGTCTATATTTATGCATTATTTGATTCATTTTACAATGAGAATATACAACTTTACAATCAGAAAATGGGATTGAAAAATTTCCACTTTGAGACAGATATATATATATATATATATGGTTTATTTTCTAGCTTATACCTGATTTTTCTTTTCTTTTAAAATCTCTGCCTCAGGCCAAAACAATAAAAGAAGTATATTTAGTGGCAGTTGCAGAAGGCAAATGGTCAAGAGATCTGAGATGAGTGGCCAGGGCTCACAGCCAGGGTGAACTGCTCTCAGGGAAAGGCTAAGAAGTCTTTGGAACTGGGATCTTGCCTAGTGTGTGCTGCCCCCTGCTGGTTCAGATACATATTCCTGGTCCTAAGAAATGCCCAAAGGATGATTAAAGTCAAGTGGATAAAGTTGAATGGAGTGAATGAAAGTTCATTCACTCAAAATTGCATCTCCCATTAGGGACAGAAAGTTGTTGGAGTGATAATAGAGAAGGTGAAGCTGATTTTCAGCCCAAACCATCTCCAGAATGATTTCTTTTTCTTTTTTAAAAATAATTTCAGTTGTAGATGGACACAATGCCTTTATTTTATTTTTATGTGGTATTGAGGATGGAACCCAGTGCTTCACATGTGCTAGGCAAGCACTCTTCCACTGAGCCACAACCCCAGCCCCCAGAAGAGTTTCTTGCTCTCCAGTAAGAGATGCCCTGAGTATAGGAGTCTGGAGAGAATGATTCTTCTGTCAGAGTCTCTTTCCTCACAAGGCAGTGTGGGGCGGGATTGTGGGGTGGGCTCTCATATAGGCACGCATGAATTAATGGTGTTCACTGGTTAATTCCATGTGCTTTTTACATGCCTTGCAGTTCACTAAATTCTACAGCCTTTGTTAAAAGCCTGGAGAACATGGAGAAGGCCTATCCAGAGGTAAGAGAACTCTGCCTTTTGTTCTCTGAAAGGGACTTGGATGCATGTGTGTCCAGCATGAAATACTGGGGTTGATACAGGGTGTCCTTATCATTGTCATTCCCTTGGGAATCATGTATTATCCTTTGTGTGTCTCAGCTCACAGGCCAGTGCTTGCACACAGCAGCAACTCAGGAAGGCCCTATCACTGCAAAAGGGGTGGTTGAAGAGTGATGGGACTGGGCAGGCTGGGCCAGACCAGTCCTGGGTGGCAGGTGCTGGTAGCAGGCTGAGGAAGGGGCACTGGATTTGGACTCAGAAACCAGCACCACCTCCCAGAACCACCTCAGCAAGTTGAGGATGAGGATGAAGATAATCTGCCCTGCCTCCTCCTCCGTGTCGTTGTAAGGCTCAAATAAAATGATAGGCAGCTGAACCTGGTGGTGCATGTCTGTAATCCCAGTGACTTGGGAGGCTGAGGCAGGAGGATAGTGAGTTTGAGCCCAGCCTCAGCAATTTACTGAGACTCTGCCTCAATCAATCAATTAATAAAACGGGCTGGGGGGTATAATTCAGTGGTAAAGAGTCCCTCAGTTCAATCTCTAATACCAAAAAAAGTGCTTCATAATACATGAGGCATTGAGTAAATATGAGGGGAAATTATGATACATTCAGTAGTTGAGGAGTTAATGGTTAAGATGAAGTATTCAGGAACCTTTAGAAAAAGAGGACCAACAAGAACATCTCCCTCTATACTGGTCTGTAACAGAGTTATAAACAGGGACTGAGAGCCAGGTGCAGTGGCACAAGCCTGTAATCTCAGCGGCAGTGGCTTTGGAGGCTATGGCCGGAGAATCACAAGTTCAAAGCCAGCCTTAGCAATGGCGAGGCACTAAGCAACTCAGGGAGACCCTGTCTCTAAATAAAATACAAAATAAGGCTGGGGATGTGGTTCAGTGTTCGAGTGCCCCTGAGTTCAATCCCTGGAACCAAAACAAAAATGAGTGACTGAGAAATGGATTGATAGCTCTGAACTACTATTCTCTTTTCTTTTTTCTCCTCCTCCCTTCCTCTCTCCTTTCCTTTTCCCTAACTTTTAGAAACTCTTTGAATAGTTACCTTTCTGTCTTTTGTGCTAGTCTTGTCCCAAGAAGACTTTTTCCCAACATGGTGCAGCAGCCTCTAGAAGCCCAGAATTTGTCGTTGGATGATATTGTTTTTCCAAACAGTGACAGGACTGTGAATCACTAAGTGCCACCGCCTCACAGATGTGAGATTCAGTGAGGGCTGTCCCTGCCATATAAACCCTCCGAGATGATGACAATTAGCTGCTAATCAATGCCATTCTGCTATGACTCTAATTAGAAGGAAATGTCCACAGAATACAAGTAATTTAGCAAGATAAGGGGTCCCTGCTGCTAACTCCATGCCCAGTGAAGCGAAGAATCTCAACCCTTTGCTGCTGAGTGCTTTCAAGCCTAAAGGCTGAATTATGGTTCTTGACGATCATTCTCTGGCTCTCAGTAGCCCTCTGAACTTACGCATTTGGATGGCTGATGCCCTGTGAATGGGATTGGGTGGACTTATTTCTGGATATGAGATTTGCTTGATTTTTAGGAATTTTTTACACTTTTTTCTCCCTCTAGAAACATGTTTACTCCTCTATAACTACACAGGAAGTGAGGGAGGAAGAAGAACCAAGTGGGAAATCAGAGGCCACCTACATGACCATGGTGAGGATGGTTCTGGGCCACAGAAGGGGCTGGGAAGGGTACGGCAACCGAGGGTGGCAGATGTGTGACTAGATCACCCAGGGAGGCTGTTTGCTGAGGACAGAGATTTTTCTAAGTAGTAGGAAGTCAGAGAAAATAAACTCTGCTGGATAAAAGTGTCTTGTCAAACTTGTCTTCATACCCAATTTTGAGGATTAAAGTCATCACTAGAGGTGGCAAGTGACTTCACTGGGAGCAGGGAGAGGTCTTTGCCTCATTAGCACAGCCCTGATTAAGTAAGACCTAATAAAGAGAGTGTGTTAGGATCCTTGGACAAGTATTACACTATAAGGGATTATTTTTTTCTATCAAAAGGCCAAAGTAGAGTCCTTTGACCCTTGGAGTTTTCAATTCTGTGCCTTCTTAATGCTTTTGCCTATTCCGCTGGCATGCAGTCTGCATGCTGAATTTCAGAGAATAGCATGGAGTCTGATTCCTACTTTTTCTTGGCTCAGACTTCTGTGGCTCTGCAGTGAATAGGGGTAGGGACAAAAGGAGTCAGCTGGCAATAGCTCGATGCTATTTGTAGACTAATTATAGGCACCTGGCCCATGAAGGAGCAGTGTTCTGCTGGGGTCAGAAAGGCTGGCTTCCTGTGCTATGGAATGACGGGTTGTGTTTGTTCTTGTCATTCCGTCCAGAGGACACATGACTCCCAGCTGACTGCAGCAGAGAAAATGTGAGATCAGGGGAGTGTGAGGTCAGGGACCTGGCCTGGTTCCACCAAGTGAAACATGAGTCCTGCTCTGAAGCTGCTGTTGAATAGACTCATTTTTTTTCCTACCTCCTTCCCCTGTTATTGCCATGTGATGCTCCAGTAACTGGTCGGGCCTCCCTGGCCTTCACAGACCTGCTGATGTGGCTACTGCTGGGTGTGTCACCCACTAGGGTGTTTGCAGAAGGTCTTAAGGTGGAGATGATGTAAGAGTGACAATGCTCTCATGGCTGCCTTCCCCATGTATCACAACTCCTGTGGGGACAGCACGTCTCCTTGAAACACATCTAATAGAGGGTGGGTGAGGAGAGGCCAGGGCCACAAACTCAGAGGCCTTCAAGTTAATTGAGAACATTCTATGCCAAACTAAATAAGCCTGTGGATGAATTCTGGATTGCAGGACACTTGGATGAGACCTCAAGTGCAGAGGTGTTCTCTATAGAGAGCAAGAGTACAGAAACTCGGATTTTTTTTTTCTCCCAGGGATTGAACCCAGGGGGCGCTCTACCACTGAGCTAAATCCCCAGCCCTTATTTTTTTTTTTTTTTATTTTGAGCTAGGGTCTTGCTAAGTTACTGAGCCTGGCCTTGAATGTGCTTCCTCCTGCCTCAGTCTCCTGAGTTTTTGAGATTACTGACATGCACAATTATGTCTGACTAAGAACCTTTGATTTTTGTTGTTGTTGGCTTCAATTAAATTTACTTAAATGTATAGTTATTTCTCTGTATCTGTGTTTTCTTCATCCATGGATTCAACCAACAATGGACTGAAAGTATTTGGGGAAAAGTTGCATCTATAATGACATTTGCCGACGGTTTTTCTTGCACTATTCCCTAGACAATACAGCATAACACTAATTTACATAGTATTTCCATTGCATTAAGTATTATAAGTAATCTGGAGATGATTTGAAGTGAACAGGAGGATGGATGTAGGTTATATGCAAATATTACAACTCCTTTTATATGAGGGAGTTGAGTGTCCCTGGATTTTGGTATTTGTGGATTCTTGGAACAGATCTCCCATAGATTCCCAGCACCATGCTGATCTCCCTTTCTAAAGCGGGACACACAATGGTTCAGATTACAAGCTTTGGAGCTGGGCACACCTGGCTCCAACTCCTGACTCTTAGCAGCAAGATGTTAACTTAGAGGCAGGTCATTTAGCCTCTCTGAACCTCAATTTCCTTATCCTTAAAATGGAAATTATAATTCCTACCTTCCCAGGGGTGAGGACCAAATAGGACAATGCATGTGAAATTCAGTACAGGGCCAGGCACATGAAAACAGCTTTCCTTCCTTCCTTCCTTTTTTTCCCCCTGTCCTGGGGACTGAACCCAGGGTCTCACACATACTAGACAAGTGCTCTAACACTGTCACTGAGCTGTTTTTCTGGCCCTGAACTACTTACAGTGCTTTGCTTTTTTCTTCTCTTCCCCCACAGCACCCAGTTTGGCCCTCTCTGAGGTCAGTTCCAGCTGGGGGAATTCCAAAACCAGAGCATGCTTTTTGAGAAGAAAGGAGAGTTTCCTTCAATTTAGCAGCAGCAGGGACTCTGTCCTCCCTCTGTGTTGCTGAGATACTGTACCAGTTATTTCAGACCCCTGCCCTCCAGGTATCCTTGGCTTTTATCAAAGGGCTGAAGATGGAGGGTTTGGAGCCTGGCAGAAGGACTGAACAGCTCTGGAGGAGCAGGCTCTGCTGAGGAGAGGGAGAGAATGAACTTGGCTGGCTAGAAGGGCCCAGAGGAAGTTGGCTGAGGCACTGTGGTGGCCTCAAGCACTCCATCGGATCAGACCCGTCATATGGACAATGTGCTTTGTGGTTGAGCTACTGAGAAGAATCACAGAGATAAAAACCAATGCAAATGATTCCATCAATAAATGATGCCTAAATAAACATGGTTTGTGAAAATCATTCATTCTTATGCCCTGCCTGAGGGGTAAGTGGAGTTTGGGTAAGGAATCCATAGTTTGGAACTCCTGGAACAACTGTAGCACCTGGAGGGAAGCCTCATGGTGACTCTGCATGCTGGGCTGGTGTTGGTCCTGGGAACATACAGCAGGAACATGTTGGAAGTGAGGTCTGAGCACAGATTGGGGATTTGAACTAGTGGTTCTTCCTTCCACCTGGGTATTAGCATTGGTCCTTGCAGGGCCTCACCATAGGCCTCCTAATTCCTCATGGAGTGTCTTTTTCTTTTTTTTTTTTGGTACAGGGGAATGAACCCAGGGGTGTTCAATCACTGAGCTACATCCCCAGCCACTCCCCTTTTTATGCATTTATTTATTTATTTTTATGTGGTGCTAAGGATTGAACCCAATGCCTCACATGTGCTAGGCAACCACTCTACCACTGAACTACAACCTCAGCCCCTCAGCCCTTTTTTTGTATTTTATTTAGAGACAGGGTCTCACTGAGTTGCTTAGGGCCTCACTAAGTTGCTGAGGCTGGCTTTGAACTCGTGATCCTCCTGCCTCAGCCTCCTGAGCCACTGGGATTGCAGGTGTGCACCACTGCACTCAACTTGTGTGTCTTTTTCAAAGGTGATGCTGCAGTAATGCAAAAATGGACAACCCCTGATTTAATTCTTGGTCTGAAATGTGAGGTTTGAACACTTTTTGGTTACTATTGTAAGATTTGATAAGTTGGTCTTAAAAATCCTTTGGTTCTGACCTCTGACTTCTGGTCTCTAGGGATCAGCCTGGACTCAGCTCCTGTCTCCTTTCCTCAGCTACCACAGGCCTTTTCTCATTCTCTGCACCCCTTTTTCCCCACATTGAGCCATTCAGGGCCCAAATAAAGAAGAGATCTTTTCCACATCTCTGATTTCTGATCCAGTCTCAAGCAGGGCTACAATTTTGAATGATTCCTCAAGCCCTCCAAGTATTGGGGCCCTCTCATGGCATTATGAGCTCTTTCTTTTATACCAGTTTTTCTTGTTTAACCATGAAGAAGAGTCATTGAGAGTTTTCTTTTTGTTCTTGTTTAGCGACAGAGCTCTGTTGGCTCTAAATAAGGAGTATGTCAACATGCGTATAGAAGGTGCTATCCTGTCCAAGACATACCAGGGACACATATTGGCACTATAATTTGACTCTGGAAGGACTCTTCATAACCAGAGTGTTTATGGGGAAGAAGTGGTTTCATTTCTGGCCACCCTCCACATTTTTTTCTTTGGGTTAAGGAGCCCCTTTTATAAGGGGGGGGGGCAGTAACTGGGGATTGAACTTGACCACTGAACCACATCTGCAGTCCTTTTTTGGTATCTTATCTAGAGACAGGGTCTCACTGAGTTGCTTAGTGCTTTGCTTTTTGCTGAGGCTGGCTTTGAACTCATGATTTTCCTGCCTCTGCCTCCTGAGCCATTAAGGGGCCCTTTTCTACTTCCCTAAATGTATGCATTGGACAGCCTTCAAGATACAGAATCACTGGAATAAGAGCTGGAGGGTGGGCTGGACAGCTTATCCACGACATCCTCTCAGGGTACTTTGATTGTGGAAGTGTGAACATACCCAAATTTGAATTTGATTCCATTCTGGGTTCAGCAGTTGAGTCTGGGGAGGAGGAAGAGGAAACCTACCTGTCTCTCACAAACCTTCTTCTCATACCTAGGCATGAATTTGCTGCTGAGGATGGAATCCATGGTTGTCAAATACCAACTTTGCTGAAAACTAACACATTCCTGTAGGAGACCATGGAAAAGATTTACTTGTTCTCTTATGTCATTTTCTTACAAGGGACTGTCTATTAAATCCAGGAACATAAAGGTGGACGGTGTAGGGAGTAGGCTTCAAAGTCAAATGGTTTGGTTCAAATCTAGGTTCTGGCTCTTACTTGTCAATACTGCAAAGTTTTCTTAGATTCTCTGAGGCTGTTTTCCCTATGCAGATGCTTCTTGTCTGAGATGTGGTTATATCCATTATAAATTGAAATTATCATCAGTTGAAAATGCATTCAATATGCATAACCCACAGAATATCATAACGTAGCAACACTGGAAGATGAGTTGTTCCCCTTTGGGATCATGTGGCTGACTGGAAGCTGCAGCTTGCTGCCATTGCTCAGCACTGAGAGAGAGGATCTTACCACAGATCGCTAGCCTGAGAACAGATTGCAATTCAAAACTCCGAGTATGGTTTCTACCGAATGCATATTGCTTTTGCACCATTGAAAAGCTGAAAATCATAAACTGAACTATAGTAAATTGGGGACTGTACATGTAAATTTGGGACTGTAGGATTTTTTTCTCTCTCTCTTTTGCAATTACTAAATGAGATAGCTTAGACAACAGTGCTGGTCTGAGCCCTCAGTTGGATTTATCTTTTCCAGCTCTTGCTATTCAGAAACGGGTTCTTTCTTTTTTAATGCCATGCTAACCAGTCTGTGCCATTAATAACAAAATTGAGCAGAATGGATGACAATATCTTCTGGTGACTCAGTGCCCCTCTCCTGTTGATTTTTATTTCTATGGGCAGGAAACAAACTCAGACACCTAAGTCCCTCTAACTCAAAGAGAGAGTTAGGAAGCTGAGCTTAGGCAAAGGGTTCAAGGGGTGACATTCTGAAGGGCAGGAAAACTGCTGGAAAGGGATCAAGCTGGGTCCCCTGGTGTAGAAGATCCTTCAGCAAGCGCTTTTGTTACTTGAATTTTCAGTATGTTAGGTCCCTAGAACACCAGATGCTCCCATATTTGAAGGTTTCCAGAAGCACACAGGTCCTTGCCAAGAGAAAGCCCGGAGGGGGTGGGCCGCCCATGAATAATGCAGGATCTAGCAGCTCCAGAATTTGGCTGTTGAAGGCTGGTGGCACAAGCCTGTGATCCCAGCTACTTGGGAGCCTGAGGCAGGCAGATCCAGTGAGTTCTAGGCCAGAGAGGAAACAGAGTGAGACCCTGCCCCCTTAAAAAACAAAAACAACACCAAAACAATGAGCAACAAAACAAAAACCCTCAAACAAACAGAATGTTGCTACTGGAATTGGAAACAGCCAGACTGTCCACTGGACTAGCAGATAGACTGTCCTTCTTCTTCTTCTTCTTTTTTTAATGTTTATTCTTAAGTTTTAGGTGAACACAATATCTTTATTTTACATTTATGTGGTGCTGAGGATTGAACCCAGTGCCTCGTGAATGCTAGGTGAGCACTCTACCACTGAGCCACAACCCTAGCCCCTAGATGGTCCTTCTTTAGGACCCTGCCAACCCTTTGTCTCTCCCTGTTCCTTGCAACTCCACTCCTCTTCCCATTTTGGCTCCACAGTGTGCTCACATGTCTACATTGGAAATTTCCTTTCGTGAAATACCAGCTCTCTGTGTGTGTGTGTGTGGTTAGAGGGGCCCATGCTGACACGGAATTAGTGGTTTCTGAGAGCTGAGGAGCCCTAGGCTGTAAGTTGCATTCCAACACAGACCAGTAAGCCTCTTCCTAAGTTGAAAGAAAGTTTCTCAGGACCACTGACCTTCTGACCAGCTGGTTTGCAGATGTGGTCTAGGCTTCTTTAAGGGAGGTCAGGCAATTCATGACCACTTCTGTAAAACCAGACTCTCAAAACATCTTTTTTTTTGTTTTTTTAATAAAAAATTAAAGGAACTCAGAGTTTCTCCCAAAGCTAAGACCTTTCTTTCGTTTTGTCAGCACTGGTGATTTTCCTGTGCTGGAACTATGTTTCTGGCCTTCTGTGTTCGGGTGCTATCTTGTCTACCCATCCATATATCCTCCCACTTTTATTTTTTTTTTTTAAATAAAATCTTCTGCTTTATATATCTTGTCTATCCTGCATTTAAGCCTTTGCTCTTGGTGCATTCTTGCCTCATGAGCTATCCTTTCCCTTCTTGCCTGCCCAAGTCTCCGAAAGTCCTGCCTGGGTGATCTCTTGAGTTTTTGCACCTCCCTCGATATGTCTACACTTGATCAGATTTTTATCTTCTGTTGTCCTCTAATTGTTTCATAGATGTGGCACTTTATCTTCTCTCAGAGACCTTAAGCGCTTAGAGACCCTGCTTTAGGTGTTTTCTGTGACTCTTGCAGCCTCCACCTCCACAAGGTACAATCCTTCTTGAATGGAAGTCCTAGTGAGTGGAGTGGAGCAGCCTGCACAGGAAGCCTCTGGACCAGTTCCCCCACACCCTGGCTGGGTAGGGTCAGGCTGGTGGAATTTCTGCCCTTGCCTGGATCATGACATAGACATTGCTCATTCTCTTTCTGCTCAGGGACCATCAGAGGCCTAGCCCATACTCAGAATGAAGTTGGAAAGTGAGTTGGGAAATAAATAATGACAATACTCTTTGATCCTGTTAGCATGGCAACTCCTACAACACCAGGAGAACTTAGTTCTCTCCCTGCAGACAGGATTGCACTCATCATGATGTACTGTGCCTGAATTTGTGCACTTATTTCCTTGTCTAGAAAGTGAGCACTCATGGGAAGCTGTTTCTCAGTCATTTCCAGGTGTACAGTTTCTAGCCCAGTATTAAGCACATCGGGCCATTAAATAGGCATAGTAATCTCTTTTATCCCTGGTTTTGCTTTCTGCAGTTTCAATTAGCCACAGTTAACTGTGGTCTGAAAATATGAAATGGAAAATTCCAGAATAAACAATTCATAAGTTTTAAATTGAGTAATGTGATGAAATCTTGTACTTAGTCCTGTTTCTTCCTAGGAAGCATACATGTGATTCCCTTGTCCAGCAAATCCATGATGTGTATGTGACCTGTCCATCAGTTAATTAGTAGTTTTCTTGGGTAGCAGATCCACTGCCATGGAATTCACAGTGATTGTAGATAGGGTTTGGTTTTATTCGTGGTTTCAGGCATCAGCAAGGGTCTTAGGACGCATCTTCCACAGATAATGTGAGACTACAATATTTGAACTTCTTGAATGAGTGACTTGATTTATAAA